TTTCTTGACAACTTGAAACATTCTATTAATCACAATAAGGAGAAAATTGCAGTGGGCATAAACAAATCTCAATACATTAATCAAAGTAAACAAGTGAAAAAAACATGGCATCTCTTATTCATATGCAGCGAAAATCAATAAGATAAACATGCAAATGCATTATCCTTGATCTTCTGAAATGAAAATGATGATAAAACTGACAACATGATAGTACTGTGTGTATGATACATATATCATAACATGTTGTATTTACTGAGTTTTCCCAGAAAGACTGAGCTCTTGCATGTATTGTATATCATACTGACAACATGATAGTATAGTGTGTATGATACATATATCATAACATGTTGTATTTACTGAGTTTTCCCAGAAAGGCTGAGCTCTTGTATGTATTGTATATCATACTGACAACATGATAGTACAGTGTGTATGATACATATATCATAACATGTTGTATTTACTGAGTTTTCCCAGAAAGACTGAGCTCTTGCATGTATTGTATATCATACTGACAACATGATAGTACAGTATGTATGATACACATATCATAACATGTTGTATTTACTGAGTTTTCCCAGAAAGACTGATCTCTTGTATGTATTGTTTATCATACTGACAACATGATAGTACAGTATGTATGATACATATATCATAACATGTTGTATTTACTGAGTTTTCCCAGAAAGACTGAGCACTTGTATGTATTGTATATCAATGACAACATGATAGTACAGTATGTATGATACACATATCATAACATGTTGTATTTACTGAGTTTTCCCAGAAAGACTGAGCTCTTGTATGTATTGTATATCAATGACAACATGATAGTACTGTGTGTATGATACACATATCATAACATGTTGTATTTACTGAGTTTTCCTGTAAGACAAAGTGGTTGTATGTATTATGTATCATACTGACAACATGATAGTACAGTGTGTATGATACACATATCATAACATGTTGTATTTACTGAGTTTTCCTGTAAGACAAAGTGGTTGTATGTATTATGTATCATACTGACAACATGATAGTACAGTGTGTATGATACACATATCATAACATGTTGTATTCATTGATGTATCATGCCAATACCACTAATTGTTAACGAATTAAATTTGTTTTATAACACACTGAAATACTTTGATGAATTAAACTTTAGATAAGACAATAAATTGAAATTGTGCTTTTTTTGATTTTTCTAATTGATAAGACAAAATGATATATTATTTACTCAACAAGAAACAGTTCTGTGATCTATTAGGCGTATTTTACTATTCACTCTTCCCTATCAATCTTATAGTTATCTTCTTTACATTGGAAACGTTTCAAACTTATGTTAAAGTTAAACTATAATCCAGTAGAGAAAAGAGAAGTAAAATGTTGAAGTGTAACCAGTGTAAAATATCTTACAAATGTTGTCTATCAATCATCTCTACAGATTGAGTACTTATATAACCACCGTCCATTGCTACAATTTCTTATATACATTAGCAGGGGTTTAAAGAGATTGTAAAGAGGTTTTCTAAAAATTTTATGTGTATCGGGCACACCCAAAACATCAATTTGCACCATTCCAATTTTCAATCTGATGTCTGTGGTTCCTAATTCCACTAAAACTAAGTGTTTGATGACGTCACTAATCGCGAAGGGCCTTATGTGATAAAGCAAATTTCACGATAAGTGAGGTCATCAAACATTGTGGAATTACAGGAACCACAGACATCTGCTCTAAAATTGGAATTGTGTAAATTGATGCTTTCAGTGTGCCTGATACACATACAATTTTTTGAAAACCTCTTTACAATCACTTTTAACTTAGTTTAATTCAAAATAGCAGTGTACACCAATTTACATAGTTGCCATTATAATTACATTGTAATCTTGTTATACTATTGTTTTTGTAAATTTGTAAGCAAATAATGTTCATAAAACAAGGATTACATCTTCTATTGACTTTAATCATTTAACATTTAAACCAAACTTGGCCAATATTAACCAAAACCCATATAATGTTGAACACTGGGATGAAGAATTTAGTCTAGTCCTAGTTCTTTTATATAATTTTGGTTTCCTGAAATACTCAATGTCAATGATGTTACATGAATTAAAAGTTTTGAGTACTAAATATGTTATGTAAGGCAATGAACCATACTCCAGAATGCATTACAACTAATTGTTTGTATTCATTATGCCAACAATTTGTGGCAGAATTTCATCAGCTCATAAGTGTGCAGTAACCAAAAGAATAAACACAAAACCAAACACTTAGATCAGCATTTTATTAGATTCTATTTTATGAAATCTCAATTTGTTGAAATATATGTAAAACAGATATTGAAATTAATACTCTAAATTCCAAACAAATTGTCCTTACCATGAATTAATATCTGGGGTTTATTTTGAAAAAAGCAAAATTTACTTCTTGTCTAAAAAGAATGAACTTTTTAAAGGGACAGATCCACAATTCTTTTGACCAATCATACTAAGCCAATTAGTAATAGTGTTCACAGCTCACAGTTGAAATTTGAGCTTTCAATTATCCATGGTTAAAAGTTTGAGACACTGCCATATATAGAAAGATTTGAAAAAAAAAAGAAATTCCAACTTTGAGATATTTTTGAAGGGATTATGCGATTTTTGTACATTTCTTGTACTTCTGAAACAATTTACATATATTCAAGACTCAAACCCCTCAAAATTGCGCAACTGTCTCTGTCTACGAAAGACTGTGAATGAAAATATCAATGAAATTATTTGAAAAGGTTGATGAAGGTCATTGTAAAACCAACAACTTTAAGTATGTTTTCTGCATTTGGCTATGTCCTGAAGATTTATATCCAGAACAGGTGCAAATAATTACTAACTGCAGTCATTTTCCCTGTAATCATAGTAATCATAATTAAATGATATTTTTAAACATTGCCAAAATGAGTTGTTGTTTATCAGTGGATTTACCTGGTTTTGTAACTATACACCAGAATCCTTTTTCAATAATTACATATTTAATGGATATATAATGTTATAGATATTCTATTCTTTAGTCATAGCACCTGGTAATTTCAACTGATGAATATGTATATACTTATTGACCAAGTTTGATATTAAAAATTAGTATTCCTTTAAAGCATAATCAAATTACACAAACTGCAGCAGGAATTATTCTCTTATAGAAGGAAATACATTAACTAAACTAAAAATAATTTGGAAGAAAAACTTTGCAAAGACACAGTAGATTTTCTGTTTACTACTGGTAGAACATTAAGTTAATGTAAAACAGCCTGACAGTAGATAAAATATCATACACTTCATACTAACTGTAGCCAATAATAGACTCTCTCTCTCGGACTGGTGTCCATGTGCTACTGGTACTTGTTTGTACATGTAGATACGGTAATTAAGACAGTCAGTTATTGGCACAAGTTACTTTACTCTCATCTTGATTTATCAAGGTAAGAGGAGTCCTATTATATGTTACCTTTGATCCAACAATTTGATATCACAATAACCTTTAAAATATTGCAAACTATAACCCCAATTAAACTATCTGAAATAATCTGTTCTCAGAACAACTCGGGAACAGAGCGCTGAGGTCAGATGGTTAAGGAACAGTTTTCAGAACTGAACAGATAATTTTACACTGTGCAATCTGTTCCGTTAACTGTTCTTGTGTCTTGACACCTCAAACACCTCAAAACCACAGTTTCTTGTAGTAGAGAAAATGGCTTCCAAAGGAAGGGTTACTAAGACATCTATTATTACCTCTTTCATGAAGAGTTCCATTAAGATGTGCAGATCGTTTACACTACTACTAGTATGGAACTGTGTCTGAAACGCTCTTAGTTGTAGTAGTTGAAATGGTAAATATTACATGATTTTATCGCGTCCAGGCCTAGACCACACTTCATAGAATTCTAATATTAACAGTGCTTATGTATCTGTCCTAATATTGAAAACTATTTAAACCTTCAAATATTGAAAATTATTACATTTATAGTTCTAAATATTTCTAATAATAAACCATCCAAAATCACAAAATATATATAAAATCAAAACAATTTTACCATACAATTATTAAGACACCCTTGAACCTTAGGTTAGAGAGGTGCCAGAAGTTCCAGACCAGACTAAAATGTTATTTCAGTAACATGCCTGAATACCATATGATGGTAACAGCTGTAAAATCACCTTCACTAAACAGAAAACCACACAATAGGTTTCTTTACAGTGGTAGTAACCACACCACACCACACCAAATCTAACTCACTTGATAAACTAGAGGATAACCATCCACTGACTCATCTTCACTTTCAGCTTATACCTTGACTCCAATAGCCACCTTTCTTGTATAAGGAATGCAGCAATTTGATTGGATTGTATGCAAGTGAATACAGCCAATCAGAGACCTCAAGACTGTAAATATTATGACTCAAGTGTTCATAAATAGACTTTAAGTGTACGCCTCTGATTGGCTGTATTTGCTGTCATACCAATCAAATCGCTGCAATTACAGACTTCCATGATAAACAAGGGCAGCTATTGGAGTCGAAGGTTCTTATAGCTTGACATTGTGAAGATGCTACTGACTTAACTTGAGATGCTTTAGGTCTATTTCAGGGAAGGGGTTTTAAATTGGCAATGTTTCAAAAACAATTTTTATTGACTACTTTGAAACCATTATTATAATTTATAATTAGATTAACTTTGATTCTATAGTTTATTTGAAAAATCTTGAAAATAGGAATTTGACCTGTATAGTTCCTGAAAAGTAATTTACAAGCCTTTTATCTTGATTCTGAGTTCTTGGATTCCAGGTTTTCTTTTCTTATCAAATTGTGTTCCAGTGCTGAAATCCAGAGTCCCTACTTGTGACCTAGGCCAGTGCTTTTATAAGAGAATATCTTTTATAAAACCTTATACAAGATGTCCCTGTATTTTACAAAAAAGATGTGAGAATTTTGCAATTCAAGTAACAAATTGATTTTTTTTCTTTTTAGATATTTGATGAAGAAATGAAAAAGGTTTACCTTCATGTTGAGGGAGTGAAAACCAGTCAAGAAGAATTGTTACGACTTAAAGCCACACAAGAACCAGATATAAAACCACAACAAACCAGTTTAATCCAGTCTTCCCGTACCCTAGATAGCAATAGTGTAAATACTTCCTATCAAACCACATCATTGTCTTCCAACATCACAGATTCATCACAATTCCTTAACCAACTCAGTCAAGTACAACTACAGCAAGAACAGATGAAGAAAAAACTTTCGGAAATCTCAGAAGGTAGCAGCAATACTAGTCTAACCCAAGTTGAGCAATATTTAAAGGTAATTTTGTTTTTCTTATTTTTTATATGTCATCAGTCGCCATTTGTATTGATATATGAAACTATGTGACAAACTCTCACCAGGACAATACTCATATAATCAGTGCCCCCACCCCCTCTACATAACCATGTGATTCTGTATCTGTTTGGCAATCCAACATCTTCTGTATATACAACTGATCTTGTATCTGTTGGATACTATCACCAGGACAATACTCATCTTCCTCTGAATATCCCAGTGATCTGTTGGACACTATGAGCAGGAGTATTGATTCTTTCTGAAGCTTTTCTTAAGAGTAACCTCTTTTCTCGGTCAACTTGTGTCGTGTGCGTCTACAGAACATGTGCATTTGGACTTCCCAAAATGTGTGTCAAGATGCACCATATATTAGATTCAATTTTTCAAAAAAAAATCTGGGGAGAACCTTCTTAGATGCTTCATGGGAAGATTGGACCCATGCGCTTCCGCAGAGCTGCCACTGTTTGAATCTTCGACAGTTGTTGTTTCATTAAGTCATTCTACCCTCTATTTGTACCCCTAGCCGATTCTTGAGACTTCACTGTTTACAAGAACAACTACTTCACTTATTATGGATATATAGAAAATAGTTGAGATCATATTTGACAAACTGTGTCCAAATTTTACTTTGTAGATCACAAATGGCCAAATAAACCAAGAATCAAGCAAAATAAAAGAATTAGAAGCAATGAAATCAGAAGCAATGAAAATGGCCACTCCTGAAGAAAGGACACAAATTTTACATTTGGTGCCATTAGTTAATCGTGAACAGTCACAAATATTGAGTACTTACCAGAAACTTAATGGGTAAGTACAATTTCAGATGTATAAATATTTAAATTTTTTAGAAGGTATGTATATTTGTTGCTGGGGTCTATCCTCTCTTGACCATGTATAGTTTATTTTCTCACATGCAGATATATTGATGTTCACCATCCATTTGACCAATCGTACCTAAGTCTCTGAAACGGAATTGTCTAGCTGTAATCAGTAATAGTGTTCACAAACATAAAAAATTTGGGGTTAGCTTTAAATCCATAACTATCCTTGTTTGAAAGTTACATTTGTGACATTAGAGAGTTTGCTTCTTAAGTGACATTGTCATTTAGAAGTGCATTAAGTATAGCAATAGAAAAGGAAATTTCTAGCTTGATGTATATTTGAAGGGATTGTGCGATTTTTGAAGTTCTAGTACTTCTGAAGACTTATATTTATATTAAGGGCCCCAATCATACCAATAAAAATGCTGATGTTGCCCTTTTAAAAAAAGATGTCAATTAATATTATATGAACTCCTAAATCTTGGTGCATTGAACAAAATGTCGAATTTTTGTGTTTAGTTCTTGAATTGACAAACAGTTTAAAACTTGATATGATTTTTTAAAATTTTGAGCATCACTTTGCTTGGATGAAGTATGATATTGATCTTCGAAAAAAAAAAAGTAATAATGTCAAAAACAAATTTATACTCATTTTATCGTAAAATTTTAAATGCTCAGAAGCATAAATCATTAATTGATTAATTAATCTAAATTATTTCATTATTTTTAATTGATAATGACATTTCTATAGACAGCTTGTATTGTGTATAGTGGAAACTGTCATGACTTTATAGTTAGGTCTGAGGAAATATTGATTTTTCCATGGTTTGCTGCAGGACTACTATTATGAACAGTTCCGCAGAAAATCAATATAGAGGAATATCATCTGCTATTCTATTTGAAAATTCTTGATTGTCTTTTTCATTTGTGAACTGTTTCTATTTTCAACTCATCTATTTGAAATACTGTGAAATATGGCTAGAGATAATTTGATGGTTTGTGGATATTATTTAGTTATTTGATGTGTTTTGTTCAGAAGTCTACTTTATGGTCAATGCAACCTAATGTGTTAAGTGGAAAATAGTGTTATCTCCTCAGGTTCACAGGAAACTCGAGTTTTTAATTCCTGTTCGCAATAATCACTGATCTTTAAAGAAATATTGATCTTTTACGCTTAAGAATTTATTTATTAAATGCATTCTGTAGAATGTGACATATCTTTCTGCTGATTTTATAAAATCGATATTTTATATTATTTGAATTTTAAGTCAGCATAAAAAATTGATTTCAGTCATTTCAAAATAGATTCTTTCTGTTGATAGAGAAGAAAACATCACCACCAATGTTTAAATTCCTACATTGTCATTGTATCAATTACCGTATTGTAATCAAAGTATGCCTAAAGTAGGCTCTATAATAATATGCAAATAAGATATTTATTTGGTTTGGTTATTATTTATTTGCTTACACCTTTTCAGCTTGTTAGTGTGATATCAAATTTTGATGAATATATATACCGTACTGTATGTATTTTGATGATACATCACACTTGTTCATAATACATTATTTTTGAATTAGCTCTTTAGTTTTAGAACAGTGCTTCTCATCAGGGAAGCAATTGGAAGACCATGGGGGAGGAGTTATTGCCAGGGGAGGAAATGGGGAGGAATAGTAGGACCGTGAAGGAAATGGGAGACAAGATGATCTATGACTGAAAATGACATCATTCATCCCACTGACAAAAAATCCAAGGGTCACATTGAACTATCTCAATATGTGGAGTATGATTTTATATCCATTCATGGTTAATTGTTAAATATATTTTTAACAAAAAATCTTTTTCAAAAAGTCTGATTTATTTTTGGGAGGAAAAGATTTGGAAAAACTCTTTCAGGAAGGAATGATCTCACTGAGGTTGAGAAGCATTGCTTTAGAAGACAAGATTGATAGATGATTATATCAACTGACTTAGTTAGGTCTGGATTATTCCCAAGCAACAAACCTTTTTTGTTTCTTTCTTTACTTTCATTCATAGTATTTCAGATATGCTGTTGACCTGGTACATTTTCCCTTTTGTTGAACTCTACATCGCATTGGCCACCTTAATTAACAGATAGAATGACATGATATAGTTCAAAACCAAGAAAAGTTCATATTTAACGATTGTTTTCAGATATTGGCGTACAGTAATGGAAAAATGGGGTGTATTCCAGAATGATTCTATGTCATTATTAAACTGGTTAAACGACACAGAACAAAAATTATCTGAAAATCATAATGGCAACAGGGCAGAAAATTATTTAAAAGTAAGTTTCAGTTACTTATATGGAATAGTTTCAAACATCATTTTCAATATCTCATTTTCCCATCCAAATAAAACAGAAATCATATAAGTAAACTTGATCAAATCACAAAAATTCAAAGTCAGACACAAAGTCAAGATATTATGAAATTGGTCTTAAACCATGAATACAATTTTTGCCGCTATTCTTGTATCATGGAAGTTTGTAAATGCAGCAATTTGGTTGGATTGTATGCCAGAGAATACAGCCAATCAGAGTCCTCTACAGAAAGTCTGTAAAAAAGACGCCATAAAGTTTACAAGCTGTCTATTGAGTGCTATGATTGACTGTATTCACATGCATAAGATCCAATCAAATCCCTGCATTCTGTGATACATAAAGGTGGCTATTGCAGTCAAGCTATAAGACTAAGTTCGTAAAATCTTGACATTATGAAGATGGATTGAATCAATTGGTATGTTTCCTTTAGTAAAGGAAATAGAGGTCTGGTGGTAGAATTTAAGAGACAAGTTGAAATGTAAAGCTAATTGAATTGTTCAATGTTTATATATAGCCAATAGAAGAAGATATAAGTAATCAACAAGCCAAGATAGAGAGTATCAATGCAATAGGTAACGATATCATGAACCAGACGGTTACACTAGATACCAGTAACCAATTAATACAACACAAACTACAAGAAATTAACGAGAAATGGAAGAAGATTTGTACAGAAACCGTGAGTCAAAGGTAAATAATGTACTGACAGGTCTGGTACAGTCAAAATAATCATTCTAGTCAGACATCTGTTTTTCTCTATTCTCTTAAATAAAAAAATCTCAGTAAATTACTTGTCCATGGCTGACTACTTCTCATTCCATTAAAGGGGCAATGTGCACAATTTTCAGCATCTATTGGATAGGTTCTCTATCTGTTTGACCAATCGTTTAGTTATGTTTACAGCTCAAACAACCTTCAAATCCATGTGTTCCAAGAATTATCTGCGTATGAATGTTAAAAAGACGACTCTGCCATGTAGAAAAGACAGAAATTCCTAGTTTGAGATATTTTTAAGAATTTTTTTAATTTTCGTACATTTCTAGTACTTCTAAAGACTATTTACATATATTCAAGACTCAAATCAACTCCCCAAAATAGTGAAACTGTCCCTGTAAAACATCGTAGATTCCACATGAAATGATGTTTAAAATATGCAAGTTACTTCTATGTATACACTTGATAAACCTGAATTTGTTTTTCATTGATAATTAAAAACGGAGAGTACTAATTGTTAATTAATCAGTTTAGACTAGATTTGATAATGGGCATTAACAGCTTGATAGTTTTAATTCAAACCTACAGAATGAGTAGGAGATATATCTCTCTACAATTTGGCAGTTATTTTGCGAACTAAAAAAGTTTATGAAATATTTTTTGCTTTATGAAATTAACTGTATGATATCTTTAGTTAGAAATTTCAGATAATGTTCAGGACACATATCTCTCGATTTTGTTAAGTGTGTAGTTTTCATTAATTTGAGCACATAAATTGTCGAAACTACCTTCATTAAGAGACCGCTTTGGATTCATCCCTTGAGTGGTCTCTTAATGCAGGTTTTACTGTACAATCAGACTGTCCCTTTAATTTTCTGAAACAATTGCATCTTTATATGTTTTATTATCATTTGTAAGTATTGTATAATTTCAATCAGAAGTTATATATATAACTTTCTTTACATGTTGCCATCTTGTATATCAATTAGTAGTGGTTTATTTACATAATATGTAAAACTTATGTTTTCTACTTGTGACCTAGGCCAGTGATTCTTCAGAGGAATAATAGTGGAATATTTTAGAGTTTTAGTGAAACATGACTGGCTTCTTCCTAATCAGGACTTTTGATATATTTTTATTTGCCAGTCATGTCTGTCAACTGTATGGATTTAAGTGAAATAAAAGCCTAATTGTAGAGAAATATATCCACCCATTATAAAGCCAGACAATAAAACTTGGTCAAACTGCTTAATTAACAATCAATACTCTCCGTTTTTAATTAACCCTTTTAAGATAAATTCAGTTAGATCAAGTAGATACATAGATATAAATAGCATACATTAGGAATATTTTCACATGTAATTTACACGTAGAACTTTTGTATAATGAAAATCTTGCATATTGCTATTTGATATATCACTTGTAAGTGAAGAAATTGGTTTGATTTGTAAATGAATTTAACCAATGCAACTTGTCTATTGTGATGCTAATCTTATTGCATGAAGGTTAAGTTCCTGATAATTATTTGTCCATATTAAATTGCAATTATGAGATATTAATGCCTTAGTCATATCTTGTACTGGACAAAAATCAATATGTCCTTAATGCAGAATAAAATAATCTTTTAAAGAAAACAACAAATCGATCATAGATTGTAGAAAATAATTCTGTGAGATTTTTATGTGGACACCATATTTTATGAATATAACTTCAAGTTCTAAGTGTCTAGACAACCTATCCAGTTCAAGGCCTATCTCTTTTCATAAGATAAATAGACATATATTTAAAGGGATTGTAAAGAGGATTTATACATTTTTTATGTGTATTAAGGACACTGAATTCATCAATTTACACCATTTTAATTTTCAATTAGACATCTATGTATCCTGCAATTTCACTAAAATTAAGTGTTTTATGATGTCACTTATCGTGAAGTCCTCATGTGATCATATTTTGCGATTAGTGACATCATCAACCTCATAGTTTTAGTGGAACCACAGAGGTCTTAAAGGTGTAAATTGATGCATTTGGTGTCCCCGATACACATAAAAAATGTAGAAAACCTCTTAACAATCCCTTTAAGCAGAACCTGAACTGTGTTGTTATGATTCTGTTTTATGATTACTGAAGTAATTAGGAAGTAATGTATGAAGCATTATTCTAATATTCTTTTATCATTATTGTATATTGTTATATAATTGTTATTAAATTGTATATTGTCATTAAATATTAAATTGTATATTGTATATTAATATTTAATTGTATTGTATATTGTTATTTAATTGTATTGTATATTGTTATTTAATTGTATTGTATATTGTTATTTAGTTGTATATTATTATTGAATTGTATATTGTTTTAGATTAGAAGAAGATAGTGTGAAATCCAATGAATTTACAGAAGAAATGGATGAATTATTTTTTTGGATTGATGAAACAGAAAATGTTCTCAGTTCTACCCTCCGTCCAGAATCACAATATTTAGAAGATCTTTTAGAAAAAATAAAGGTCAGTGATTAGAATTTTTTAGATCATTGCCAAACATGAATTAGTATCATATTTCATGATGGAAATCTGGCTTAGGGTTTGCAATAAATTGAAGAAATATCAAAACGATTGACATCATAAAGGATTATAAGAACATACCAGAATTTGGACTGAGACTGAGTATAGCTTTTTATTAATTAGGCATGTGTAAGTCATTCTGCATGTATTGTTTAATACTAATGATGATAATTATCTTGACCATCATAAAAAGACCTGGAAGATATTTCTAAACCCAAAAAGTACCTGTAGTTACATACTATAATGGATGACATTGATAAACAGCAATTACAATGATTACTGTTTACATTTTAGGAACATGGAAAAAGCAGAAAAGTAGGAAATAAAACTCCATTCATTTTGTTTTCTCGTTTTACATTTAAGGATCGAGAAGAAGAGATCAAGTCTAAAGAAGAATCTATAGTAACTATTAATAAGAGTGCTAAGAAAATGTTAAAAGAAGAATGTTTAACTACACAAGATAAAGAGAATATTGGTAAAGATATTGAAAACCTTAATTCAAGATGGGGCAAGGTACAGATTTTTTTTTTAAATTTGTGAATTGTTTTCAGTATAATATAATATACATTTTATATTGCTACAAAACATGCATTTTATTGCCAGAAAGACATTAATTCCACCTAACTCTATCGACTTTTAAAATGAAAATCCGACTTTTGGTTTGTCTGCAATTCAATAAAAAAAAAGCATATTGATGTATCTGGGAAACTGGAAACTGAAGTCACTTAAAAGCAATTTGATTTAGTCATTTATAGATGAACTTGAAAATAACATTTTTATTTTGGAAAGTGATACAGGTAAATTGTAAAAGAATTCAGCTGATAAGAACATTATTTGGACACCTACCACCATTTAATTGTTGTCATTTCCTTTCATACATTCAAATTACACTGTAATTATTTAGACATGCCATGATAAATATTCAGCTGGATGTAAAGATCTATATATTAAATATATGTTATAGGTACGAAGTGAAATACCCAACTCTATTGGTGCTATACAAACATATTTAAAAAGATTGAAAGAATATAAGAGTCAAACTGATGATTTGAGAAAATGGATGAATGAAATATTAGAAAGATTACAAACTGATGATAAACAAAATATTAATAAATATAATTTACAGGTTAGTTAGTTAAAAAAGGAAAAAATATTATGAATAATGCTTTTGTTTATTTTTTGGGCCTTATTCTCAACAATTTGACTGAGATGATTTAAGTTTACCAGTCATTTTATTGGTCAATGACTGAAATTGATTATAAATTTAGTTTTGTTCAATTAGATTACTGTATATCATCAAATCTGGATTTTATCTTGTGTAGCCTGAGTAAGGTAGAGTCGTTGAATATGTGATATTGTCTCTCTCTATTACGGTGTCAGTTTTATGCACAATGTTCCTTTTTTGTTTGGACAGTATTATTTATAGTGACATGGATTTTTTTTCAAATTCACTTTAGGGTCAGAAGGATGCGCATTATCTTCACAATTATATGGTATACGAAAAGTAATTCAGTTTACAAACCATTAAGATCATCTTTTGTTAGGTTTTTGCAAAGGCTTATTAAGCTTATTAAACTATGTGGATTTGTTTGTAGAATATTGATGAAACATTAGCAGCTGGTCAAGTTAATGTGAACAGTGTAAAAGAAGCATATCAACAATATGTATCTGAATGTCAACACCAGAAAATAGAAATACCACAAACTATAGTTACTCAATATGAAGCTCTTCTTAAAGACTGGGCTAAAATTACTCATCTTAGATCTAAAATAAAACCTGTAGAGGAGAAGATTATAGAAAAAACCACCTCAGGTAAATATTTATTAATTTTTAAGGGTTTCAGGTCCACTGAAACTGAGCCTTAAATGACATAGCTAAGGTTCTTAGACATTATTAGCAGTTTTTGCCATGGTAACGTCTTATTTTGCATATAGTTAAATAGTTAAATATTTATATATTAACAGGACCTGCAAAAATTATATGGAAATGCATTGATTTTACAATATCCTGGGCCATAAAAAATAACAGTGTCCTTTTAGAGCAAAAGTAAATTCAATCCAGGTGTTCAACCAAGGGGGTATTTTGGAAATTTTTCTGGGGTAATGAGGCATTTTGTAGTCCAGCGTAGAATTTGCGAAAAATTAAAATTCAACTTGTTCTATTCAGTCAAGCTATATTTTCTGACATGAAAATGATTGCAGGGTGAACCTAAGATAGAATCACAGAATAGTAAGGATTTATGAGAGGGGGGATAATGCAATCGATCAAGGATCATGAAAGGGTTAAAAGAAAGAAAAAGGTTGAAAAAAAACTACCTGATGTTGACTATCTTCAGACAATAAAATGTGAAGAAAAGTGAAACATTGAACACATTTCATGTCTTTACAGAAACACAAAAGACCGTAAATAAACCCAAATCTACATCAGTTTGGTGTGAGATAGAAGAAAATATAGATGAACAGAGAGACTGGTTAACATTATTAGATAGAATGCATAAATCACAGAAAGTTACTGTTGGTGATGTCAGAGATATAGAACAAACCATTGTTAAACAGAAGGTATTCGATTTTCTTTCTTTTCAAACGGCCATTACACTTGGCTAGTTGGTTGGTAGATGACAAGTTGACCTTGCTGATATCATAACTAGGTAGTTGTTGATAGTCGTAGTAGATGGTAGTTGGATTGAGCCCATTACCCTCTGGAGGTTATGCTTATATGCCTATGCCTGTGTTTTCGTAGCATTGCTTCACTGCAATGTTACAACCTATTATTCCAATCACAGCAATTTGATTAAGATTCATCTAGTTTTGTCAAATTCCTGTAGTGTAATCAATATTAGGATGAGGAATAGGGGGTCTTTGGTAGAAAGTTAATAAAGTTGAAAATTGTTTGACCAAGGCTGTTGATTTGGCTCTATTTGCCAGGGCGGCTCAAATGACCAACAGTCAATATACTCTATCGGACATCAAGTGTAGGTTAGCCATTACATGGCATTCAATGGCTGTCAAATGCAAAAGTTAATAACAACTCTCTAATGAAATATATAGCCAGCAATCACTACTTGGTATTACAATAACTTGATTACCATCCCGATAATCTGATAATCTCTTGATTACCTGTTATAAGTGTTTAATTAATTTGACTTTGTTTTTTTTTTCAATTTTCAGTCAATATTGATGGATGTAGAAAATCGCTGTACACAAATAGAACAGTTGAATGATAAAGTACAACAGTTGAGTACCAGTTCTAAAAAAGAACTTGAAAAAGAAAAGAGTAATTTAACAGATAAAGGTATGCACCAAGTAATTGATATAAAGTGATATACCATAAAATTATGTTCTGTTAAAATGATGATTAAACAGGTTATTATTACAAATGATTAGTAGTTAACAAAAATAACTAGAATCAAACAAGTTTATTATTACATAATAATATACAATCTGGCCTTTCTCAAAAGTGTATGTTAACAAGTTATAACAAATAATTAATAATGTGAATTATGGGGTTAATGTTGTAATTTACAGTCAACAAGTATTGATTACATTGTTTTAATTAATTATTAATTGTAATTTACAGTAAACAAGTTGTTATAAAATTGTAATAATATTTTACAGAGAACAAGTTATTATTGAAATGTAATAAAAATATTTTAGAGTAAACAAGTTGTAATTGAAATTTTATTATTATATTTTGCAGAAAACAAGTTATCATTAAATTGTAATAATTTTGCCGTAAACTGAACTAAACAAGTTATTATAAAATTGTATTAATTCTATTTTGCAGTGAACAAGTTATCATTAAATTGTAAAAGTAAACTTAACAAATTATTGTCGAATTGTAATAATTATATTTTGCAGTAAACAAGTTGTTATTAAATTGTAATAATTATATTTTACAGTAAACAAGTTATTATTGAATTGTAATAATTACATTTTGAAGTAAACAAGTTATTATTAAATTAAATTAATTATATTTTACAGTAAACAAGTAATTATTAAATAGTAATAATTATATTTTGCAGTGAACAAGTTATCATTAAATTGTAAAAGTAAACTAAACAAATTATTATTGAATTGTAATAATTACATTTTGAAGTAAACAAGCTATTATTAAATTAAATTAATTATATTTTACAGTAAACAAGTTAATATTGAATCGTAATAATGATATTTTACATTAAACAAGTTGTTATGAAATTGTAATAATAGTATTTTACAGTAAACAAGTAATTATTAAATAGTAATAATTATATTTTGAAGTAAACAAGTTGTTATTAAATTGTTATAATTACATTTTGAAGTAAACAAGCTATTATTAAATTAATTAATTATATTTTACAGTAAACAAGTAATTATTAAATAATAATAATTATATTTTGCAATAAACAAGTTAATATTGAATCGTAATAATGATATTTTACATTAAACAAGTTGTTATTAAATTGTAATAATAGTATTTTACAGTAAACATGTTGTTATTGAAATGTAATAATTATATTTTGCAGTAAACAAGTTGTTATTGAATCGTATTAATTATATTTTAGAGTAAACAAGTTGTTAGATCGTAATAATTATATTTTACATTAAACAAGTTACTATTAAATTGTATTAATTATAGTTTACATTAAACAAGTTATTATTTTATTGTAATAATTATATTTTGCAGTAAACAAGTTATTATTGAATTGTAATAATTATTTTTTGCAGTAGACAAGTTGTTATTAAATTGTAATAATTATATTTTACAGTAAACAAGCTATTATTGAATTGTAATAATTATTTTTTGCAGTAGACAAGTTGTTATTAAATTGTAATAATTATATTTTACAGTAGACAAGTTGTTATTGAATTGTAATAATTATATTTTACAGTAAACAAGTTATTATTAAATCGTATTAATTATATTTTGCAGTAAACAAGTTGTTATCACAATGTAGTAATGGTGTTTATCAAACAAAGAAACGTAAAACACAGTTAGATGATATGTTATTAGAATGTAGACAGTTTGATGAAAGTTATGCTGAGTTTGAACGCTGGTTATCTGGGGTTGAAGAAGATTTAGATAGTCATCCATTTCAACCTCAAACTGCTGAAAAGGTCGACCAACTTCTTCAAAAACATAAGGTAAATTTTTACCTGTATCTAAGGGCAGAGATTGAACTGTTTCAGCTGTTAAAAAGAAATGTCCTCAATGTTGATAATAACACTCCTTTTGGTTGAAACTACTCTGTGATCACTTGCGGCGCCAGCCTCTTGAGACTGGGGGTGCAAATAGTGGCAGACTGACTCTGTGGAAGCGCCATTGACGCAAGCCTCCCTTGGAATGTCTGAGAGTGTTCTTCCCAAGAAAAGTTTTGAAAAATTGAATTATGGTGTTTTCTGACACATATATAAAACCCAATGATGTTTATGTTTTAATAGAGAATGCAAGATGAAGTAAACCAACAGAATGCATCATTAGAAAATTTACAACATTTAGCTACTAAATTAATAGAAGATTATAGTACAGATGATACCAGACAAATAACATTACAGAAAGAAAGATTAACAAATAGATGGGCTACTCTATTAAACAGGTATTCTTGCTGGTCTTTAATATAAAACTACATGACCTATTTTCCATCTGAAAATTATAAAGTGATATGTGATATGATATATGATACGATTATGATATGATAATATTATATGATATGATATGATATGATATGATAATATTATATGATATGATAATATTATGATATGATAGGATAGGATACGATACGATACGATACGATACGATACGATACGATACGATACGATACGATACGATACGATACGATACGATACGATTGATGGCTTGTTAGTCAGAGAAAAAAATTCCATTGTCATGGGAGGCATGACTTGAAAATCCTAATGATTGATGCCAGTCTGGCCTTTAGATAAACTGTTAGGAAAATATATATCAACACCTTTTTAAGTTCAATCTCCATTCAGTTTCTGCCACTTGAACCTGCTTGTGCTGTTTTCTGTAAAAATGGTACATCTCTCTGATCCTATCCAGGCGATTATCCAGCAAAATTATCTGTCTGAGACTGTAGATAGAAAACTCGTTTCTCAGACACATAGCAAAAACATGATTTAGAATAATAAAAATTGAACAGTTAAACTGCAATTTTTTTTTATCTTTCAAAATAAACATAAGAGAGAGGAAAATACAGATAAGGACTTCTGGAATATCTGAAGAGTGAAAACGCCCAAAAGCAAATTAATTGTTAAAATAGCTATACAAGTCCACAAACTTTTGTTTATAACGTTGTACTAATGATTTTATGTATGTATGCCTATAGGCATTAACATATTTATTTGGTATATTATAGACTCAATAATGTATGGAAATTATTACAAAATAACAGAAACTCTCTACAACATTTTGATACAAGTTTACAAGAATTTAATTCATGGATGAAGGGAGTAGAGAAAAGTTTTGAAAGTTTATCAAAAGAAACTGAAAAGAGTGAAGTTTTACAGAATGAAGAATTATGTAAAGAATACTTAGAACAGTTTCGTGTAAGTAAAAGAATTTTAAAGGGATTGTAATGAGGTTATTTCTGGACTTTTTATGTTTGTCTATTGCAAAAGCTGCTATTAATATCTCCGGGCCTTTGTGAGGTCATAAAAGTCTTAGTTTTATTGGAATTGCAAGAGCCACATCAGACTGAAAATTAAAATGATCGATGATATTATCTCCAATACACATAACAATTTTAGGAAACCTATTTAAAATCCCTTTTAAGGATGTGATTCAGTACTATGATGTAGATTTTTATTTATCTTTATGAAAGTCACATAAAATTTTGAACATGTACGTCAAATGCTTGCGAATAGTGGTTATTGGTGAAAAGCATCAAATTATAACCTGTGACACTTTTCAATTTTGGCCAATTTTTGTATGGCATTCTTACTTATTCATGTTCTAGAATAAATCTGATTCATTCTCAGTTTTATAAACTTATACATTGTCATTGAAAAATAATTCCAAACTTTTTAGAATTTTATGTCAAAGAGCTTCGAATGTATTAGAAATTTACAATGAAATCTTTGAATGATGCACCTCATGCTCAAAATGTAAATACAAGCAGTGTTCAATATTTTGAGATACTAAAGGTGTTTATGAATACAATGTAGGTTTGACTTGTATAGCTTCAATAACTTGTCATTCTACCCTGACTGTTAATGTTAACACTTTGAAATGCACTCAGATCTTTGTGAGACCATTATAAAAAAAAACCTTTGACCAAAATATGCACATAAATGATTAGAATAGAAACTGGCCAGTTGTATGCACAATCCTCAGCTGTTAAGAACACAGAAGAGTGATACTCAATTGTAAAGCTTGACAAAGGCAGACTCATATACATTTGATTCGATCTTAACTGAATGTCATTGTAAAATAAGGGAAAAAGAAACAATATTCATATCTCACACAAATACACTTGAGATTATAATGGTCTAATGTATTAAAGGGACAGTTGCACCATTTTGGGGGATTGATTTGGGTCTTATATATGTAATTAGTCTTCAGAAGTACTAAAAATGTACGAAAATAGCATAATTCCTGTAAAAATATTTCAAACTAGGAATTTTACTCGCTATGTCTTTTCTACATATCACAGAGTATCTTAAATTGATGAGTCGTCATTTTAACATTCAAATGCGGATAATTCTTTACACACGTGGATTTGAAGGCTCAAATTTCAACAGTGAGCTTTGAACACTATTACTGATTAGCTAAAATGTGTGATTGCTCAAAAGAAAAAAATGGAGCAACTGTCCCTTTAAGATATCTAATACTTGTTATGGTTGAATGATTTGACCATTATAAAGAGAGTCTATTGATTAAACATTATAAAGAAAGGGTTCAGCTTGAGGTCAACTTGCTATATGCATGAATAATCTTTATAAACATAAAGCTGTTAAACCTAAGAATCTTTTTCACGATTTGGTCATTACAATGTAGATATGTTTATCCAATGCATATCATTATGTCTATTGCATTCTTATGAGAAATTATACTAATTTAGGAATTTGATACATCAAAGGGTCAATTTGCAATGCAGTTACTATAAATAGATGTGATGCAATGTTAAATCAGATGTATATCTCTGTTTGAATATATCTCTATTTGCTTGATATTGTGTGCCAGTTAATGTTTTTTTTCCTATATTCTGTGGTATATCTTTAAGGGAGATATAAAATCATAATGCCCACACTTTCACATGGTTATACATCCACATGTTTATACTTTCACATGTTTATACTTCCACATGTTTATACTTCCACATGCATAGGTGTTGTATGATAACAACCAAACTCACTGCAATCTGAACTATTCAACTATCTACATCAGAAACCTATTTTATCTTATTTAAGGTTTCTAAAAGTAGGGCCTAGACTGTTTTGAGTATGTATAGGTTATATATATTGTAGGATTTACAAACAGAAGTTGATTGTCATCAGAGTGTATATGAATCATTAAATAGTAATGGTAATATAACTGATAATAGAACATCTACTATGTCAACTGATTTAGATAATATTAATAAAAGATGGCTAGCTGTATTAACTAAATCACTGGAAATCAGGTAATTCTAATACAACAATTAAAATTAAATTTCAGAAACTTTTTTATGGTTTCTATTCAATATAAAAGTTACAGTAGTTGTACCAGTACTGTCAATATTCTTTTTTAAATACAAGACATTTTCAGGCTTTTACTTGATTATTTATAATGGTTATTTAGTTATAACCTACTCCATTGTATTAGTCTTATAATTCTCGAATAATAAGAGGGATTATTGTTGATTGAAGTCAACTGACTCTTTATTAAGGTGAATAGCACTGCTCTTTAGCTGTTGATTTTATCACGAGCTTGTCATTAAAAGAGGTGAAAATGACTTGAAACAAATTCAATAATTATCGGTTTTAGTAACTTCTAAGTTAAAGTGACTTTAATACAGAAATTGTAAATTTGTCTATTAGATATAGAAATTGTAAATTTGTCTATTAGATATAGAAATTGTAAATTATTGTTTTAGTAAGTTCTAAGTTAAAGTGACTTTAATACAGACATTGTAAATTTGTCTATTAGATATAGAAATTGTAAATTTGTCTATTAGATATAGAAATTGTAAATTTGTCTATTTGATATAGAAATTGTAAATTTGTCTATTTGATATAGAAATGTAAATTTGTCTATTTGATATAGAAATTGTAAATTTGTCTATTTGATATAGAAATGTAAATTTGTCTATTTGATATAGAAATGTAAATTTGTCTATTTGATATAGAAATTGTAAATTTGTCTATTTGATATAGAATTGTAGATATAGAAATTGTAACTTTGTGTATCTACATATATAGAAATTGTAAATTTGTCTATTTATATAGAAATCGTTTAGAGAGTAGTGCTGAACAATGGGCACATTTAGTACGTACACAGGAAGACTTAATAACCTGGATAGATCAGAGACAGGAGGAATTAAACCAACAACAACCAGTAGGAGGTGATCTTACTAGTGTACAACGACAGTTAGCTGAAAACCAGGTACAGATTGATCTTAGCTACATTTATACTGGTGTCATTCATTCAGTTAAACACAATTCTTGTTAGTTTTAAGCACCTGGTTCCCAACTTGGGGTGTTTTGACCCCCTGGGGGTGTGGCACTAGGGTGTCAGAGGTGTGGCCAACTGGTGTAGGAGAAGAATTTGTTTTGAGTTGAGAGAGCATCTCACATCATCAACACATGCGGAAAATTTGGATGAAACAAATTTTGGGGGTGTGAAAGTTCCAGGTGATTGCTCCACGGGTGTGAAGGCTGAAAAAGGATGGGAACCACTGCTCCACCCATTTTAAACCTTTCTGTCTTTTAGATCTTATATTAGAGTAGTAAAAATGATATCCTATTTCATATTTTCACAGAATTATAACTGATTGTTTTCAGAAATTATTGGAGAAATTAGAATTAAAGAAACATGTTGTTAAACAGATATTAGAAACCGGAAGATTTTATCTATCTGAAGAATTTACTGGTAATCGTAATCAATCTAAGATCAATGATAATGGTGAGTAATTATCAATACTTTATTTCAAATATCTTACAATCGAAAACTTCAAATTATGGATCGATGCTTCTAGAATATTTTCTATCTTCCAACGTTTCAATGTGGTGATAATGATATTCCTGAAGACAGTGTTTGAGTGAGAGTATAAGAGTATTCTCAAAAGAAGCAGTGGATTAGCAGGTTTTAAAGTGAAAATCAATAAGAAAGGGTTTGATATGAATAGTGTTAGAACAACATTGAAACGTTGAAAAGTAATAGATATTCTAAAAGTATGTATCCATGATTATATTTTTATTTATTCATTTGTTCTAATAGTAATTATTTTCCAAAATTTTGCTCATATAGATTCTGTGAGGTTCTCTTATACAGTTGGTTAGAGTGTTGGCTGTTTACATGACATCATTTGCTGAGTTACATTGAACAAATATAACTCATTATTCCACTCGACCCAGCTGTAAATGGATACAGATAATCCAGGAAAGATCAATGCCAAAAGGTTTGGTCAAGGACCAGTTGGTAGAAAGGATCCTTAATTGTGAACCCAAGTTGTTATCCTTGTAAAATATAGTTGTTTACCTTTAATCACATGGGTGTACTCACAGATGGTTCAAAAAGATCTTTTGTGAAATTTTAATGTTTTGTGTTGTAGATGATGAGAAAAGTTTTATATTAAATAAGATGTGTGAGAAAGTTAAAACATTAGATCAGAAATGGAAAGATATTAATGATAACAGTAGAAAATGGCAGAGTAAATTAGAAGAAGTACATGAGGTGAATACCGTATATTTGCTTGTATAATGCTCAGATTTTTACCCAGTGTACATGTATAAGTTAATGTTTTTGACACTAGTAGGCCATTGTTTTATATTTTCTGGTCTAGAGTTCAGTGCTTGCTCAGTAACTTAAAGGGACAATGACCAATCATACTTTAGTCTCAGAAACTGGAATTTTTTAGCTGAGCCAATCAGTAATAGTGTTCACAGTTCACTGTCAAAATTTGAGCCTTCAAATCCATCTGTGTCCAGAATTGTCTGCATTTGAATGTTAAAATGACGACTCATCTAAGGTTTTCAAATAATTTTTATGGAACTCGGTATGTATGCAATTAATTCTATAATTTGAAAGTTTCTTGTTTCAACTACTTGAAATGAAGGTTACTGTATGTGAACACTCTTAAATTATGGATGACATATTTCTTATTACAGAAAATGAGCGTGTTTCACGATAGTATGGATGATCTAGATGATCATTTAAAAGAGGCTGAAAGCAAGAAAACTAATTGGCAACCAGTTGGTGATATTATTATAGAAAATTTAAAAACTGAGATTGACAATGTAAAAGTGAGTATCTAAACTTCAAAGAAAAATATCTCAAACTCAAGTTTTTGTGTTTTGTATATTTTCTGTGGGTTATTCCATTTTTCAAACAATATTCACTAGTTTTATTTCTAATTCCTAATGACAGTGATATGAGGAATATATTTTAAAATGAAATATACCCCATGAATTAACACCAGCTTCCATTTTGAAGTGATGGTTAGTCATATAGTTATTATACTTTTATAGTCACTCTATATCCTTAGCTCCCTACCTGAGGTGTTTTCACCCTAAGGGTGTGGGATTAGGGCGTCAGGGGTGTGGTCAACTGTTGTAAGAGAAGAATTTATCTTTTGGGATTTATATGGTTTCATGACTTGTAATGCATTTTTTTCAACTGATGGACATTAAAGAGCCACTAACATAGAGCTATAAACCTGGGTTTTTTTATTAACTTGAATTAGAAATTAGAAAAAATGTTGAATTCCCATTATTTATGGAGTTTGAGGTGGTTAAATGATTGATCTGAGGTATTGAGGGCTGGAAAAAGTTTGTGAACCACTGCTCATTATCAACTGTCCTGCTGTAAATCTACATTTGTCAAATTTTGTTTTCAGAGTTTTCAACAACAAATTGTACCACTACAAGGTGAAGTTGATAATTTAAATGATTTAGGTAATGAATTACAATCTAGTGAAGTTGTATTATCACATGTTAATGTTAGAAGAATGGAAGATTTAGCTACAAGGTAACGGTGATACCAAACTTTTTTTTTTTTTTTGAACATAAAATATACAAATAGTAGAAATATAAAATGAAGAGCTGAGATCAAGAATGTGTCAAAATGCCATTTGTCACTATTCGAAAAAAAGGCTAAAAACCTGTAGTTAAGGCCATTTTTTCAATGGAGATTGGAAACTTATATAGGATAGCATATATCAGAGTTGTTACTAAAATTAGCATCACAATGATTATATGTAAAGAATTTCAAGGGGAATTACTCTAAAGTGAAATCTGAAAATTTCACAAATAGCACTTAGACACCTTCTTAATCTCAGCCCTTCAAATGTTGAGTGAGTCCAGTTTTAATTGTCTGTTTAACCTTGCTGAATCAAAAACTGATATCTACAAAATCAGAATACAATCCTGAAAGTGACCTCAGTCTAAATTCCATAGGAACATTTTTGCTAAAATGCTTCACTATCGGTACGTACATTATTATTCCTACCCTCTTGTGTTACTTTATTTCTCATAACTGGATTTGTTGTTTTCGTTCTTATAGGTGGAAGGCTTTACAAATTTCTATTGAAGACAGATTAAAACAATTACAAGATGCTTTTAGAGATTTCGGTCCGAATTCACAACATTTTTTGTCAGGTAAAAAGGTTTTCTTAAAAAAAATATTGAGTGCGAATCATGACTATTAATCAATGAAAAAACCTTAAGAAAAAAATAAAAACAGTACTTTGCATGGCTAACAACTTGAGCCCTAGAGGACAAATCTTTCACCTTGTTCTTGGCCAATCCTCTTGGCATTGATCGTTCCCCATGTTATCCATACTCATTTACAACACGGTTGATCTGAAAAATAAGGAAAGTTGACTTGTTGAAAGTCAAGAGTATCATTTGTTTGATGTATCTATGGAAATAATGTCAGTATTCAAAGACTGTGAACAACTCGTAAGTCCTACAGTCTTAAAGCAGCAAGGTGTGAAAAGAGTTTATACATAGGAGATGGGATAATCAAAACAAACAGAATGTTGAATATTTCAGTGTCAGTCGAAAGTCCATGGGAAAGAACAGTATCTGGTAATAAAGTACCATACTATGTAGAGTAAGTAGAATATGTTATAATCCACTGTTACATAATGAAAATAACCAAAAAGGAATTAGTGGAGAAACCAACTGCACAATTTCACTAAAATATTGCACAGGGTGAGACAAGCATGAAATTTTGTTCAGAAGATTGAAAGAATATAGTTGACCATCATGATTTTTGCTATTTTGAAAGTATAAAATGAGAAAACTAAACAATTTGATTGAAAAATTATTTCCAAGAAAAATTTTTACTTTTATTAAAGTGTAGCTTGTAGTGCTGGCATGATATATCGGTGAATCGTTGGTCACAATACAACATGCTACAATACGCGTATCGTACCGCGATTCATGTATCGATACTTGACAATAACTTTCATTCCATAAAAAAAGTGGAGATATTTATAAGTTGGTTTATGATATAACAATTTTTTTTACTGAAATTGTTAGAAACTTTTAATAAGACACTAACCGCTATATTACCAGATATCACAGTTAATGAAGTAATATATATAGAACCTTTGAAGATATCTTAATTTTTATCCCATTACCCAATATCATGATTTGTATCGTATCGAGACCCTTGTATCGCGATACGTATTGTATCATGATTGACGATACCCAGCACTAGTAGCTTGAGATGCACATAAAAAGACTAGAAAATCTCTAATTCCTATAAGAAAATGGAGACTCTTATACTTATACACTAATGAGATTTGTGGTTAAAACATTTTTATGCACTATTTGCTTCATCATTTCAGTCATTCAACAGAAACTACTCATTGGGATCATCCTGCTATGTCAGATTTAATTTTTGCTCTGAGTAAGTGTTACTATTGCTGTATTGTCAATCCTACTGTAGGTTATAGAGTATTTAAATTCTATATCACTCTATTTGAAAGCTTTGGTGGTGGGATGAGTTATGTGCTTGCAGAAAGTTCTGTTAGCTTTCACGATTTTTGATTCTGATACGAGACAGCTTTAATCGTATGAATGTGCCTATATTTTGCATAGTTTAGGAATAATAGACATTTGAAAAGAAGCTTATGCTGATATCATGGCTAAAATTTCCCTCATTGCACACTTCATGTATTGTCTGTTCTTAGTAGACTATTGAATAATCAGTTATTCTGATGTCATCAATTTATATGGAAATTTGTTTATGTTTCAGATGATTTAAATGAAATTAAGTTTGCAGCTTATAGAACAGCTATGAAATTCAGAATGCTTCAGAAGAAAATTTGTCGTAAGTTATGTTGTTTTAATACAAGAACATGGACTCAGATTGATTATTCAGTGTGGTTAGATCCTGAGTGTAACAGGATACTATCTGCGTTAAATGCAGACTTAGATGTTTCTATTTTATGTTTAGCACATCACTTGTCAACCATGATCAATGAGTAATTTTAATTTTACGTTTAAGCCATCATCACGACATCTTTTGTCTTTACTTAAGGGCATGGTTCGCCATTTTCGAAGGTCAACCTTACCTTTAACAAAACACAAGACAATATTATGGAATATAACACACTTCTTTAATAAGGTTGGGCACATAACATTTCAACATCAGATCTCATGATGACACGTGTATATTGTGTTGAAACGTTATGTGCCCAGCCTGATTAAAGAAGTGTGTTATATTCCATAATATTGTCTTGTGTTTTGTTATATGTGCTCCTCGTCGTTCAAATCTTACAATCGTACCTTGTCTAAGAAACAGGTAAACATTCAGCTAAGCTAATTGGTAATTGTATTCAGAGCTCACTGTCCTAATTTGAACCTTCTGAGCCATATGTATTCATAATTATCTCTGTGTTTTATAGTTAAAAAGACAATTCTTCAGATGGGAGGTTAACTTCAGTAGCTTTGATCGTCCAGTGAAGGAATTATGCTATTCTTGCACAGTTCTTGCGAACCATAGACTTTATGCAGAAAGTAGTACATCAAACTACAATTTATTTCAGCTTCCAATATTTTCCAAGTTAATGTTTGCCATACTTGATATTTCAGTGGATTTAGTAGCTATGACAGTTTGTATAGAAGCATTTGAACGTCATGGTTTACGTGGTAAAAATGATAAATTAATGGATATATTAGAAGTTATTAACTGTATAACTACTATGTTTGAAGTGGTTGCTGAGGAACATCCTAATATAGTCAATGTTCCTCTCAGTGTTGATTTAGTCTTGAATTGGCTTCTTAATGTATATGACATGTAAGTTTCCATTTGTTTCTTATATTAAACTTAATATAATTATTGGAATTCGTGTTACCATAGCGAGTTTTCTGAAACCCACAAGTCTGATGCCACACAATTTTAAGGAAAAAAGGTCTTATTAGATAAAACATAATAATTTGAAGAAGGTCCTTTGAGCATTTTACAGTTATACACTTTCTCATACAAAAAAGAACAGCAGTAAATAATTGTTGCCTTGCCACATTACCCCACCTAATGTTTCTTATCAACAAAATTTGTAGTGAATTAACTTGTTATTACTTATATTTTATGTTGTAGATCAAGAAGTGGGTTTATTCGAGTTTTATCATTTAAAATAGCTATTATTGTATTATGTAAAGGACAGTTAGAAGATAAATATAGATGTAAGTTGATAGATTTTTATACTATATTTAGCACATGTAGCTGACATTGCATATTTAGATTACAAACCCCATGAACTTAAAAATGATGTAATCGTTTATGCAGAGAATAGCTATACAGTCAACTCATAAATTTTTCAAAATGGCTGTGGTATAAATTTCTGTGAAATGAATATACTCCCAATATTTTGAAAAGTATTAAAGATATTTGAATTAAGTTCTATCAGCTTTTAAGGGAAAAAGTTGAAGACCTTACCCCTTTTTATTTTTATGGTAGAATTACATTATAAGTGAGCTCATTGTATAGGGACAATATTCATGCCACTAGCTGTATGAAGATAGGAAGAAAGAACCAAGGATAACAACTTAGATTTACAAGGATCCTGTCTTCCAAATGGTCTTCAGCCAAGTCGCTTGGCATTGATCTTTCCTGGATTATCTGTATCTGGATTATCAAAGAACTATTAAGTTTGTGAGTTTCACTGACTTCCGATTAGAACCAACAACCACCATTTTTCCAACTTAACTGAGCAAAACATTTTGAAAATGTAAAAAATGATGTTTGTTTATAGATTTGTTTCGATTAATTGCTGATACTAATGGTTTAGCTGATCAACGTAAACTAGGTTTACTATTACATGATATAATACAATTACCTAAACAGTTAGGTGAAGTAGCAGCTTTTGGTGGAAGTAATATCGAACCAAGTGTCAGAAGTTGTTTTGAAAAGGTTAGTTATATATAGTTGAATCCATAGATAATAACCATAGGAACATATCCAAACATCACTGATATCAAAAGCATCCTGTGAACTATGATAGAGATTAAGACATGCTCATTCAATGCCATTATGTTGAAAAGAAAGGGTATATACATACCATCAAAAATTATTTGATAGATACCAAGAAATCCAAACTGATGGACATAATTTACAGGCGAAATCAAGGAATTTTGAAGATTTTTTCACGATTTCCTGCCAAATTTTATATTCTGGATTCACTTGTTTTGAGACTATTAGCCTATTAAAATCTAATTTAACATCTATATACACCATTTGAATTTCTAGTATACTGCAATTCTTATAAATAATCAAATCATCACATCACATTGGCAACTGGACCACAAATGCTAATGATATGGTTATACTTTTCAGGCAAATAATGTAAATGAAATCCAAGCATCTAATTTCTTAGATTGGTTAAAACTAGAACCCCAGTCTATAGTATGGTTTCCTGTATTACATAGAGTAGCAGCTGCAGAAACTGCTAAACATCAAGCCAAATGTAATATATGTAAAGATTTTCCAATTGTTGGCTTCAGGTAATTATTGAAATATTACTATTATTTTCTATTGACAGTGTTTAATGTAGTAATTATGTTCTATTGACAGTGTTTAAATGTAGTAATTATGTTCTATTGACAGTGTTTAAATGTAGTAATTATGTTCTATTGACAGTGTTTAGAATGTGTAGATTATTTTCTATTGACAGTGCTTAAATGGAGTAATTATGTTCTATTGACAGTGTTTAAATGTAGTAATTATGTTCTATTGACAGTGTTTTAATGTAGTAATTATGTTCTATTGACAGTGTTTAGAATGTGTAGATTATTTTCTATTGACAGTGCTTAAATGGAGTAATTATGTTCTATTGACAGTGTTTAAATGTAGTAATTATGTTCTATTGACAGTGTTTAAATGTAGTAATTATGTTCTATTGACAGTGTTTTAATGTAGTAATTATGTTCTATTGACAGTGTTTAGAATGTGTAGATTATTTTCTATTGATAGTTCTTAAATGTAGTAATTATGTTCTACTGACAGTGTTTAAATGGAGTAATTATGTTCTATTGACAGTGTTTAAAATGTATTTCATTTTATTGACAGTTTTATAATAATTTTGTTTTATTGACAGTGTTTAAAATGTAGTTATGTTCTATTGACAGTGTTTAAAATGAAGTAATTATGTTCTATTGACAGTGTTTAAATGTAGTAATTATGTTCTATTGACAGTGTTTAGAATGTGTAGATTATTTTCTATTGATAGTTCTTAAATGTAGTAATTATGTTCTATTGACAGTGTTTAAAATGTATTTCATTTTATTGACAGTTTTATAATAATTTTGTTTTATTGACAGTGTTTAAAATGTAGTTATGTTCTATTGACAGTGTTTGAAATGTAGTAATTATGTTCTATTGACAGTGTTTAAATGTAGTAATTATGTTCTATTGACAGTGTTTAGAATGTGTAGATTATGTTCTTTTGACAGTGTTTAGTATATGATTATGATATTCTATTGACAGTGTTTAAAATGTATAAATTATGTTCTATTGACAGTGTTTAAAATGTATAAATTATGTTCTATTGACAGTGTTTAAAATGTATAAATTATGTTCTATTGACAGTGTTTAAAATGTAGTTATGTTCTATTGACAGTGTTTGAAATGTAGTAATTATGTTCTATTGACAGTGTTTAAATGTAGTAATTATGTTCTATTGACAGTGTTTAGAATGTGTAGATTATGTTCTTTTGACAGTGTTTAGTATATGATTATGATATTCTATTGACAGTGTTTAAAATGTATAAATTATGTTCTATTGACAGTGTTTAAAATATATAAATTATGTTTTATTGACAGTGTTTAAAATGTTTATGATGTTCTATTGAAAGTGTTTAAAATGTGTTAATTATGTTCTATTGACAGATACCGGTGTTTGAAGTGTTTTAATTATGATATGTGTCAGAATTGTTTCTTGTCTGGTAGAAAAAGTCGATCACATAAACTTTCACATCCTATGCAAGAATACTGTACAGCTGTAAGTTTTTTTCATAATATTTTCCTTTATTAAATGCTTTTCTTCATATTACACAAAGAAATTTTTGATTTGACTTTGTTTCTCCTGAATAAAATGACTAAGAATTGGTCTTATATTGATTACAAACCCAGTAGCATACTTGCAGCAGGTGCCCCTACTCTGTGAGCATTTCCCTGTCTGGCATGCCAAATCCACCGTGACATACTTTATTATTTAATCATATTGTGTTTCAACAGACCACATCAGGTGAAGATATGAGAGATTTTAGTAAAGTATTTCGTAATAAGTTTAAAACTAAGAAACATTTTAAACAACATAAAAGATTAGGTTATTTACCTGTACAGACTGTATTAGAAGGAGATAGTTTAGAAAGGTATGTATGGTTGAGTAATATATGCTATCAAGAAAATTGAGTAGTGGAAGTTTCATCACTTCTAGTGCATTATTAATATTGTTGTCTGCAGTTATTAATCAATGACCTTTTGGCATCAATGGAGATTCTAATGTCACAATTCATTTCTGTTCAGTTGTCTTTGAATAGGATATGGAATTTTTCTTGATCTGTATTGTTTTGTAGCTGTGCACATTTGAATTGTAAAAAATAAAAATTCAGTGAATATTTTTGTTTTTTATTTCAGTCCATCACAATCACCAAATCACAGTATATCACAAGATATGCATCTACGCTTAGAGTTATATGCTAACAGGTAAATAAATTAATATTAGATAAAATAACCAGATCTTGATTAACTTACTGGCTGTTGAAATTCTTGTCTCTAATAGTAATAACTACATGTGCTCTTACTACTTTTTTACACATATTTTATGTAAAAGGATTACTCTTTTTTCTAATTTTTAAAACAGTACATGCATTTAGTTAATTGGAGATTATATGGGCATTAATCAAAGGGCTATCTATTTACATATTTTAGGTTAGCAGAAGTTGAACAGAGACAAGATAAAGCACCAGAAGTGTATGTATACTTGTATTCATATGATCCTAGATCAACAGGACCAATGTCGTGAAAAAAATTGATTTTAGGCCATGTTTAGTAATGCTTGTCAAATGGACAGATTTGTAAAAGTCCTTAGTCCAAAGACAAAGAGCCATTGTGTCACATAGATAGCTGAAAATTGAAGAAGACAATTTACTGAATTTATCCTTTTTTTCCTTCAGAGATGAAGAACATAATTTAATAGCACAATATTGTCACAGTTTAACAGGTGATTCCTCCAAGAGTCAGGCAGTAAGTTGCTTAATATATTCTCTGACTACATGTAGGCTACTTTAAATAACAAACTGAATTTTTTTGTGAGTTGGAATGGGTTAAAGATTTTCACAAAATGAAGTAATTGATTGCTGTATATTCAAGTTTTAGTTTAACCTAGCACCATATAGTTAATATCTTAATCCAAAAATTAAGGGAAAAAATGCAAATTATGGAGACTATCATATAACAGTTTTTTTTTTACCAGTTTAGAGGTTAAAATGGTGAAAGAAGAATTGTAAAGCTTTTTGTAAGACATCAGTTGAATTTAAAACATACTTAAAACACCATAACTGAAATATTTGAAGTTCAGTTGCTTGAATCAGGATCACCTCTGACTGAAAAGTATAGTACTTACTGTATTTACTGGTAATTTCAGTTAAAAAGTCCAATGCAGATAATGTTAGCTGTAGATGTAGATCAGAAGTCACAATTAGAAGATTTAATTAAAGAATTAGAAGAAGAAAACAGGTTAGTATTGTTGAAGTTGGATTTTTTAGCCTTTCAATTTCTGTAATTCCTACAATTCCTGCAATTCCTGTAATTTGCAAAACTACAATTAGATTTGATGTTGGCCAAATTTAATTACAGACATTTTTTGGAAAGAAAAAATGTTTTCTTTGGAAAAAAATATTTACTGAAATACATCTATGATAATAAGAAAAAATGCATGAAAAATCGTTTTTCGCAACAAAAAATGTTTTTAAGGATATTGCCATTTTCATTTATTGTACATACACAGAGGTTTACAAGCTGAATATGAAAGATTACGTCTGGTGTCTAAAGATGGTATATCTCTACGATCTGATGATGACAGTCAAATATGTCATGATGAAGAAATGATGGCAGAAGCCAAATTATTACGTCAACATAAAGGTAGACTTGAATCTAGAATGGGTATATTAGAAGATCATAACAGGCAGTTAGAAGCTCAACTTGAAAGATTAAAGTTATTATTAGATGAGGTAGAGTATTAACTTCCTTGATTTTGATAGTGGCATTTGTCAAGTGGCTTACCTTGATAGTGCTAGTTGTCAAGTGGTTTACTTTGATAATGCAGCATTGATTGTCAAATGTTTTTTTTTATTACTGCCTGGTGTCAAGTCACTTATTTTGATACCACCAGCTGTCAAATGACTTAGTGCCAATTGTCAAATATTTCATTTCGATATTGCCAGTTCTGAATGTCTTATTTTGACAGTGCCAGTTGTCAAATGTCTTATCTTGATAGTGCCAGTTGTCAAATGTCTTATCTTGATAGTGCCAGTTGTCAAATGTCTTATCTTGGTAATGCCAGTTGTCAAATGTCTTAATTTGATAGTGCCAGTTGTCAAAGATCTTATTTTTATAGTGTTTTTATCTGAACATATGTGATTTGTTTACAGCCTTACCAACATGATACCAGATTAATGGCTCATTCTATGAATTCATCCCCCTCTCCATCATCTTCACACAGTTCATTATCATATAATGCTGGTAATAAAAATATACGACATAAACCACAACTGGATCCTAGTAATTCTACAGCTGCAGGTTTGTATATCTAAAAATAATGCTTATTTATTCACCTCCAGTCTCCCGAGACTGGGGGTACCAATAAGGGGCAGACTTACTCAATGGGGAGGCAACTCTTGAGGCTGAATTCAAATTGCGGCAACTCTGTGAACGCTTCAAAGCGGGTGGAGCGTTTGAGAGGGTTCTCTCAAGAAAATGTTCATAAAAGTGCATTCTGACACATATTTTGGGGCAAAGATGTATAAAAGTTATATTTGTTAAAAAAAATATAATAGAGGTGTAAACTATAGTAGGGCAAATATCAACAATAGGAAGGAATATAGTTGTAATTGTTAAATGGTGATGAGACCATAGTCTCATGAAAGCACTGGATTCATTTGTTGTTATCTGATCTGTTAATTTTCTTATGTTAAATAATAACTTTTATTATTATTCCTTGAAACATTTTCATCCTAGGTTCAAAGAATGTGGGTAATTTATTCCATATGGCAGGCCAGGTAGGAAAGGCTGTAGGATCTTTAGTTACTGTAATGACAGATGAAGATGGCAACCAGATTAACGAGAAATATATTTAATTAATATCTAATTAACATGTATACTTAGTGATATTATTTACTTTCCAAACAATACAAGTACTGTGTACTATAGTCCAACGCTTGCTTACTCTATTTCTGACCTCTGATAGTTATAATTTGTGGAGGTCAGCCTTTTCACCCTTTTCAGCAGGATTTTACATAATTTTGGAATGATTAGACACTTAAAAGATGAACAAATCCTAATATTTGACATGTCAAAATGTGACAATAACTATCAGATGCAAGCCATAGTCCTTTTCACGCGTCAGCCATATTGAATTTAGAACGAGGCTCAATGCAAACAAACAAAGGTAACAACATGTTACTGTCGTGAAGTCTTGATGTCTCCAATCTCACTAACTCAAAACTAATCATATTTTTACATCATTAAAATCAAAGTTGACTAAGCTATTTAATGATGCTATCATTGACCATCACATATTTATTGAGAAATGTTTCAAGCCCATTTTCTCGCTTTGACGTCCAATAGGCTTTTCATTCATATGACATCGTCATCTTATCAATGGATGATGTAATTTGTGTTATGAACCTTGCTTTCAGTGTCTCAAAAACACTGAATAAGACGTGAATAAGGTCTATTAGTCTGCAAGGCTTAAGCCTTTGAACACTGTGTGTAAATGAAATAAAACGTCATTTTCCCTGAACTCCAAGTAAGCTAAAGCGTTTGACGTTAGAATTATGTGACGTATGCTCTAGGGTTGGAAGTATAAAGGTTATAGTATGAGCACAGTTGTTGGAAATTCGTGGCCTTATTTCACCCGAACTATTTATATTTGTATTATATTATACTAATATTAGTAATTTACTGGTAGATGTACTAGTTGTATTTAGAACTGTTTATCATGAAATAGACACTGAACCCTACATATAAATTATTCACATTACTGATTCACAATATAGACATTCATTATATCTACAGACCCACCATGACTAGTGCCCTCTAAAATCAGTACAAAGGTGAGCCAGGGCACTTGGATGGCCAGAATAAAGGTATAATTTGATTGAGTTACAATATGTTTTAATTTATTTTCTCAATATTAATTCACCATTATTTACATAATAAACAATTGCAATAGATTGTATATATGTAATTTCTATCATCCATTATGATAATTATATATATATATACTTATATTATACTTACTGTAAATGTTCTACTAAAATGTATGATTGTATGAAGGGTGTAAAAAAAAACCCTCTAACTACATTGAGCTTTGAATTGAATTTTTTTTCTCATTTTGTTTTAGAATGTCTGTTGGTCCATAGAAATATAAAGTTCGGTGATTTTACATTTGAAATAGGTGCACTTCCCTCTAAGAAAATTCTGGTAAAAATGACCTTCAGATTGAAAATTGCCCTCTATAAAATCATGTTTACAAATAAACAGTGGTTGACATTTTCATCAACCCAAAGACAATCTAAGACTCTCAGTAGTACTTTATAAATGATATTTCAATTGATATGAAAACGATTGCCAAAATTCAATTCAGAAAACAGTGTAGTCAGAGAGTAGTTTGACCATTAAATAAATCACATTTTTATATGCTTGTAGGATTTGGTAGAGTAGTATTTTAGTATGAAATCCAGTCTATTGCTTTAATATATTTCACAATGGGACATTTTGAATAAAAAGTAAACTATACTGCCAATTATGCTGAGAATATGTACACATGCATCAAGAGCTGACACATTTTAATATTAAATGTTTTAAGGACCAAATCATAGTCATTTTGGAGCTTAATCTAGATATGTAGATGTTTATTTTTATCTCTGCAAGTTACTGCAAAAGGAGTAGCAACGTTACTACAATAGAATCGTTACTACACAATAGAATCTTACTACAACAGAATCGTTACTACAATAGAATCGTTACTACACAATAGAATCGTTACTACAATAGAATCGTTACTACAATAGAATCGTTACTACACAATAGAATATTACTACAATAGAATCTTACTACAATAGAATCGTTACTACACAATAGAATCTTACTACAATAGAATCTTACTACACAATAGAATAGAATCTTACTACAATAGAATCGTTACTACACAATAGAATCTTACTTCAATAGAATCGTTACTACACAACAGAACCTTACTACAATAGAATTGTTACCACACAATAGAATCTTACTACAATAGAATGGCTTTAGACAAAAACACAAAATCTACATATTAGCGGAAATGTTGACGAAAAAATAGCCATGTGTTAAACACAAAGGCCATTCATATTTTGGGTATGGAATATAAAAATTATTTTTGATGTTAAAGATAATGATTAGTGCTTGGTCCTGTTTTGTGTTTTTGTTGATATTATTTGTATTTAGGTATGTGATTTATTTTATTATCCTTTGATATTATAACATACATTATTTTTGTCGTATGTAAATATACAATAATACAATATGCAGCATTGTCATAAATTTATAATAAACATAATATCATTACAGCAATGCATAATTTATATGAATTTAGGATCATGGTTGTTTTTTGGAAACATGGGTGTGATCAAAGATCGTGGGTGTCCTTGATAACAAGAGTATAATCATTGGTATCCTTGAAAACAGGAGTATGATCATTGGTATCCTTGAAAACAGGAGTATGATTATTGGTATCCTTGAAAACAGGAGTATGATCATTGGTATCCTTGAAAACAGGAGTATGATTATTGGTATCCTTGAAAACAGGAGTATGATCATGGCTATCCTTGAAAACAGGAGTATGATCATTGGTATCCTTGAAAACAGGAGTATGATTATTGGTATCCTTGAAAACAGGAGTATGATCATTGGTATCCTTGAAAACAGGAGTATGATTATTGGTATCCTTGAAATCAGGAGTATGACCATGAGAATCCTTGATAACAGGGATGTGACCATTGGTGTCCTTGAAAACACGATCATGTGTGGCTGTGATCAAGAAAGTCCTTGATAACAGGAGTATGGTCATTGGTATCCTTGAAAACAGGAGTATGATTATTGGTATCCTTTAAAACAAGAGTATGATCATGAGAATCCTTGATGACAGGGATGTGACCATTGGTGTCCTTGAAAATAGGAGTATGATCATGGGTGTCCTTGAAAACAGAAGCATGATCATTGGGGTCCTTGAAAACAGGAGTATGATCATCAATTGGTGTCCTTAAAAACAGGAGTATGATCATGGCTGGCCTTGATAAAAGGGGTGAGACCATGGAGTCCTACCTTGAAAACAGGAGAGTGGTCATATTTGTGTCTCTTTGAAAACAGGAGTATGAACATGGGTGTTCTTGATAACTGGAGTATGTTTATGGGTGCAGATCATGAGAGCCCCATCTAGAAAACAGGACAAGATCAGCGGTGGTCGTGAAAACAGGAGTAAGGTCATGGGAGATTGTACCTGGGAAATCAGTTGTAACGCTGGGAATGCTTAAAAACGTGATTAAAAACAGTTTCATGACCTTCAAAGTTCTCAGTCACAGAGGTATGACCTTGAGAGTTCTTGAGTATTGTGATGTATTGAAATGGGGAGGCTATTAGATGGCGACTGTTTGTGACTATTTTTGGCAGAATGTTATTGTCATTGATTTCTACCTTTTAACGTCCTTGAAATGTCATGAAACATAGCCCTTGCAGTTCACCTATAAAGTCCTTGAATTTCGTAGGCTAAACTTTACGAAATGAAATCTTTTGGTAGGCCTACTGTGCTAAACAATCCTTGTAAAACTAGGAGATTTTAATGATGTTCAAAGACTTCTTAAAATAGAATGAAATTTGATATGAGATAAAGCATACAAAAAATAAATAAAATTTTATCAATATGACCATTAAGAAGCATTCCACTTGACATCTATGACTAAGTTACATGGCTGTAGGCTATAGAATTGAACAACTTCAAATCTATACTGATCATTTTATCAAACGACCATCCAACAGTCTTGAGCAAACTATAGCGATCGATAACCGAGGAAAACATGCGCAATAGACTCCGACTGGGAGAAAAATCAATGGTTTCTTATAGTGGAATCAATAATATGGTGCCACAGAATCCTAGATGGTGGACATATATTACATTTGTTAAAATCTAGTTACTGTGTAGATCTAATACTGTATATTTATACTTTGTATTGTGATGTTTGAATGTGCAAATGAAAGGTAAGGCTGTATTTAATATGTGTACTGTAAGCTTAATGACTATTTTAATGAAGTAAATGTAAGCTTTATCTATCTTTATATGTATGGATTAACGTGGATATTATATAGATGGCCCTTTTAAACAATCGTGAAATCAGAACACTTGACTGCATCATTTAATAGATGCACCAGGCCCGTAGCCATACTTGATTGTTCGGAGGGGCAAGTAATACATCCGGAGGGGCAATTGTGTATAGTGTTTAGTTGGAGTAATGGAATTGGTCGGTTGTCAGAATGTTATCAGGGGGTGGGGGGAGGGGGCAATCCATTTTCCCTTATCCACCTGTAGCTACGGGCTTAGATGCACCATAGATATACTATTTCGTCAAGGGCAATAGAGTTGTCGGTCCTAACTTTGCAGAGTCAGGCCTGTATCCGAATTGTGATTTATTACAAAATTTGGTTCCAGACACTCCATTATCGGGCTCCCATGTGAATTTGAATATAAAAGTTCTCATATCATTTATCTTTCCTAAAGTAAATTGCAACTGATTAAATTCGGATAGGTTCGATTTTTCGTCAAGGGAAAATAGAGTTGTCGAACCTAACTTTGCCTATTTAGTATTTAGACTAAATCAGAACTGTGATTTATGGCAAATTTTGGTTCGAGACACTCCATTATCTGGCTCCCTAATTAGTTAGAATATCAAAGTTCTCGTATTATCTATCTTTCCTAAAATAAATTACTTTGACATTTATGTGTTACATGTCGTTCTGTAATTTAATGGAATCTTGCAAGAGTTCAAATTACATGGAAAGTATTTACAGACTGAGGCTTAGGTGCAGAGATTAGCATATTTGTATTTGTTCAATATAGACTGGTGAACTTTTTTGTTAGGTTAGGGTGGGGGTTTTCTCTGGATTTTTTTTTCTCAAACTGATATAGCTTCTGTGGTGGAGGTGGAGGTGGAGGTGGAGGGGGGCGGGGATATTTATATTTCCTCTCGACAGTTCCAATATTTTGACAGACATCTGGAAACGTAAGAACTTGGCTTCAGACTATTAGTTTCCTAAAATAAACATGACCAGTTTAGTTTTACAATCCCTTTAATTTTTATTTCCAGAATGAAGAATGAAGAGTAAAGGATGATACTCCGTCATGATGAGTAGTTTCAGTATTGTGCTAATCTTTTTGACTTTTGTCACATATTTAGTCACTGGTGGGTTGTTTAACATAATTTATTCCAATCATATCCTGTCATATCATCTCTAAATATGGTTTCATCGATATTTCAGCTTTAGCCTAATTAAGTTATGTGTCAGCATGATGCTTTTTTGAACGTTATAATGTTAAGTTGTTTAAAGAAAAATAATTTTTCGTGCACAGAACAATCCACGGTATAACTGTCCATAACTATCGAAAGACCAACCAAAACATGTTTGTTGGCACGGAGTACGCTCGTTCTCTTTGTGGTACTAGCGCTCCAATTGACTGTTTCAGTGAGTTTTAATTTGAATTTCTGTACTTCAGGTTTAAGTCCTCCATATCAATGTCACTCTACATATTATACTGACCCCAAATGTGTGGATCATCCTGATGGATATGGTTGTGAATGTGGACCAGGTTTTCATTGGAATACCTTTATGTGCATGTGTAAGTTTTTGTCTTCTGTATAGAAAACCTCACACTCGACATTATTCAGTTGCGACGGTCGAATTACTAGGCTGTGTTCGTGAAGCATCCATTACCAATTGTAAAAACATTAAACGTTATGAGATTATAAAATACAATGCTTGATTGTTTCATTTTGTATTTCAGCGTCGGCAATTGATTCCAGATTTGAATTTAAGGCTGTGAAACCAGAAAGATATACCCTATTGTTAGATAAAGCTTTTCCTAAGTTAAAACATTTCACCATCTCATTTTGGATGAATGTAACTGACGTCAATCAACATGGTACTATCTTGTCCTATTCGCACGGTACTCACAACAACATATTACGCATGATGAGTGGTACCAGTATCAGATTTGAGGTATTTGGTATATATAAAGTTACAGACTTCCAACTGAGACCACACCAATGGTACCATGTGACATGGACATGGAGTTCCACAGGTATTCCTTTTAATTTTTGAACATGGTGGTGTGGACTGGTTGGAAACAGTGGAGGTACCCCCTCCCTTCTATAGGTTTCCCCGGAAAAGGAGCACTCTTCAATCTATTTGAACCACTGGTTGTGAAACAGCTCATTAGTGTGAGGCCTGCTGGACCCTGACACGTGAGATTTATGCACCAGAAATTGACCTCTCTCAAAAGCATCTTCAGTTTACCATGAGAAAGAGTGTAAAAGTAGTGTACCGTGAATTTGCGACTGGCAGAATCCAGAAACTGGATTTACAATGTCTGCTTGCAACTAGCAGCATATGGGAGATTGTAATAATTTAATCTATCAGTTAGTTGTTATCAGTTAACCCTTCTAATTTTTAACTTGTTTCTTCTGATATACTTGTAGATGGAAAATGGAATTTCTATATCAATGGTGACAAACGACAAAGTGGCTATTTGAATAGAACTTTAAGAGAAATACCATCTGGCGGGCAAATAGTTTTAGGACAAAGTCAACCATTCGAAATCTCTGCAGCACTTGATGGAGATTTATCACATCTTAACATCTGGAACTATGTAATGGAGAAAGAAGAAATTAAAAATATTACTAAGTCATGTAATTTTATGTATTGTGGAAATGCTGTTCAATGGGTTGAATTTCGCAGTGGTACACGTGGTGGTATGAAAATAAGATGGCCGTCAGGAATTTTCAGTAAGTACATGTACCTTTTACAAAGAAAAGTGTCTTATTGGAGAACCATCTCTTGTAAAGATTGAAGTAGATTAAGCAATATTTTGTATAGTTTTGTTATGATCTTATACATATTGAGAGACCAGAATGAGCTAGTCAGACACTTTTTGTGTAATCGAGACATCGTGCATTCAATCACAGTAGAGATCAGATAGTGCCTCTGGATGTTGATGATGGTTCTCTATGTCATTAAAGCAGGTTGGAGGAGCTGTTATCATGGCCGTTTTGGTGGGACAACACTATGAGCAGGAAGTGTGATGTTAAACTGTATTAATTTCATTTCAATGTGTATTTTACATACCCATACTTAGAACTTCTTGATTACTATGATTTTCATTTTAAAGATGTGTTCCCCTATTTTATTCAAATCTGACTTCCTATTTTAGCTGGTCAATGCTTTACAGAGAAAACAGCAGCTATTTCCTGTGATACTTTTTGCAGTGATTTGATAGGTGAGGATATTCTGCTGCTATAACACCTCTCAGAATGAAAATTTGGCTTTAGATTCACTACATAAACTTATGATTAAAATAGCATTGCTCATCTCTGACAGCTCTTCTGCATCTGACAGTTCATGTTAATTAGAATGTAGACCAACTACAGCACCGATTCTCAAGCAAACAAATGCTATGCTATATTTTTTTCATTTCTCTAAATATTAAACTTGTCTTCAGGTGCCCAATGTAATGAAGAAATCAAAGAAAATATCAGATGGACTAGAACTAAAGCTGAAAATACAGTGAGTGTACAATGTCCGAGGTTAGATGATAATTCTACCATTGATATCAGACCTGATGATCGCATTGATGGTAAGTGTCAATTATTTCACATTTTCTTATATTGGATTGTGTTTAGTTGTCATTCTGTCATAAATGGTTTACTGTCTGCTTTACTTGTATAATCACATATTAGGTCGAGACAGTACCCTCCAATTTTACCTTTCAATTATGATGGTCATCATTATACATCAAAGATCACACCACAGTTGAAACAAATAGCCAATGATAATGCTATATAAAGCATTTTGCATCAGCCAAGTAGAACGTAAATGCAATTCACTGCATGTTCTGTTGCAGGTCAAGCAACTCGTGTTTGTAAGTTACAAGAAGATGCTAATGATGGTATATGGTTAGAACCAATGATAGATGGGTGTATATCAACAGATTTATTACAAATTAAAAATATGGTATGTTTGAGCTTACATAGTTTAACATAGTTTACTGTAGTTGATTATAAAAAAGTATTGAAGAGAAGTCCTTCATTCATTTACTAAGTCCAAGTTGCAGGAAGCCACCTATAGAGGATTGGTTTATTGCCAGAATTGCCACAATAAGAACAACAAACAATTAATTGCATAGTTTATAAGTTACTGTTTCTGAATTCCAAGATTGTGGCTCTCTAGCTATTCTCAAGACATATATTGGAGATTACTAGAAGAAAGTTACTTAGCTGATCAAGACAACCTCATTCAGTCTGATATTATTGAGTCTTTTTTCTAGTTCACAAGACTTGGTAAAGTAGATTTGAATGAAATATCAGTGCTACAGCTAGCTGATAAGTTATTAAATCATACCATTCATAATACCTACACAAACCCAATAGATATAGCTACAGTCATTGATTTATTACAAATCATGGTCACAACCCAGGTAATTTTTATAATTAGTAATAGATAATTAACGATTAGAAGACTAAATAATGATTATGATTAGTTATTTTGGATAATTAATGATTAGTAAACTCAAACTAGATCATGATTATAAATAGTAATTTCATATAAATAATGATTAATCACACAAGTAATGATTATGATTAGTAACACAAGTAATGATTAGGATTAGTTATTTCATATAATTATTGATGAGTGACCCAAGTAATGATTAGTAAAATCATTCTAATGGAAAATAAAACGCCAGCTCTTTATATTGCAGGGCATAGCCCCAAGAACAGTTACATGGCAGAATGGTGGAATTACATTTGCCAGAACAAAAGAAGTTTATCCTACGTTTGAACAAACAACCACTTTCAGTCAGGTAAGATATATAAATTCTATTATGTATGGATACATGGATGCCTTTGACAGCTAATCAGCATTATACTGTTTCAACAAAATCAATTTATAGAATCAAAATATTGAAACTTGTCAATGTGTAATAGTCCACAGTTCCAATAGGTATAGTCAAGGACATCTTTAAAGGGATAGAGGTGTCAAAATATTTATTGTACCAACTGATAGTCCTCATTTTCAGCTATCCTGATATCTTTTCTGGATCGAAATCTGATTTTCACCATGGATGTTCAGATTGAAGCTTCCAGACTGTTTCTTTTACTTTCAAATTCAGATATTACTGAAGCAGATCATATATATACAAATAGATCAACAATTGATATATTGAGCACTTTTTTAACAGTGATAAGTTATTGTCCACATTATTAGTTTTAATTTTTAACTGTTTCACGGCCAAAATAAACTCACTAAATTTTTTCAACAATATTTTGTTATAAAGAGGATTATATTATTTTGTAGATATTGGGAGCTATAATAGATAATTTATTAAGCAGTAAAAATGATATTGGATGGAATGCTACCCAGCCGCGTGGAGTAGAGGGAGATAATCTATTATCTGTATTAAAGATGTTTGCTAACGTCATATCCCGTAGTTTAATATACCATGTAATTGATGGATTGGTAACATATGAAAATGCTGTCATCAAAGTTTTTAAAGAAAACATTGGTAAATATGTATTATTATTGACGAGAGGTCTTCTAATGCCTGGGGCACACAAACGTTTTTCTGACAAGCTGCGAGCACACAAAGAGACAGAATTTCTGCAGTCAGTAAATTTCTCTTATGACAATACATGTGTTTGGAGTGAAAATACATCTGATTTGATGAAAACAGGCTTGATGTTCGAAATCCTGTCCAACGCAATATCTTGTCGTGGAAGCACGGAAACATGGGAGATTTTACTCAAGATTTACATAAGCGACAAAAAATGTTCGTGTGCCCCTGCATTAAACAACCAACACGTGTTACCAATGTGCGATTCTTTTTTCGACAAATTTGTACTTATACAAGAAAAGTAAGCGAGGCCACTCAACTGTTTACTACAGGATCATGTTTTTCAAGGTAAATCCACCAATAAAACGGACTCAGCGAAATATTGGCACATTCAATAGAAAAGTCTAAAATACCTAAAATACAATAAGTTTTGAAAATTGTCTCCGAATAAGAATGCATTTTATATGAATGAATTCTTTGATGTGCTGTAGCATAACCAAAATCATTTCCTCTTTGAATGTGTTTCTATTAATGGTTGTGTTAAAGCTTTCTACCTTCTACCACAGAGTTCAAAATAGAAACTTATTGGATTGAAGAGTTCTTTGGTTCATCGTTCCCCAGTAAAGAAGATGAATTAGAATATAAGTTAAAGAAGAATAAAGGATTTTTAAGAGTAAGACGAGGTGTTTTAATGTCACAAAATACATCAGATCTTCCAGGTATGTTTAACTCATATTTGGCTGAATAGAAATCAAATCATGGTGGTCTGGGCTCTAATCTCTGAGTGCTTGGAACAGTCTGCTGACCTTGAATAAGCTATCTTTCTGTATTATTCCATTTGACCAAGCTTTAAATTGTTATGGGTAATTTCAGAAAGGTGAATACTAAGGACCATCTGATAGAAAGGATCTTTGTGAACATAAGATGTCAACAAATTTTTGTTTCTTTCTTTCTTTCATGAGGGATTGTGAAATATTTTCTGGTCACTTCATGTGCCATCGAGACATTATAGCTTCTGTTTGCACCATTGCTCACAATGCTTCATAATGTTTCCCTAGGAAGATCTGAGTAGCATTACTCAAGTTGAATTTGAATGGACTTTGCTAGTGACCTGCATCAGAGTTTGGGTTATAAAATCCACTTTAAAGGAAGGATTTGCAGTGTTATGAAAAAGAGAATTGAAATAATATCCAACCACACTTCAAAGTAATTAATAATTATTTCAGTGTTTATTGGTGTATCAAGTTTTAGATACCAGAAACTAGCACAGAATTTACCAAATAAAATTTATAAAGGGTAACTCTTCAATCTTTAATTATAGTTCATAATTATATATCATTTATCTTCTCTGCCATTATATATCTGATGTGATGAGGTATTATACTCTTGATTTAACAAAGAGACTCCAGTGGTGGCGCCATTTTGGGAGCAGGGGGCAGGGGAAGGGGCAGGGGTCATTTGCCCCTCTAGCAAACTGTGTTGGACCCCTACTTCACTTGATTATAATACCTTTTTTACCCAAAGATATGCTTCAGAATGCATCAAATCAATTCTATTTTTTTTAAATTTCCTTTTGGAAAAAAACGTCTCAAATGCTGTATCGTGGGCTTGTGCCTATGGCGCTTCTACAGCGCTGCAGCATTTTGAATCTTAACCCTAAAAGTTATCCCCCCATTAAGTCAGTCTGCCCCCTATTTGTACCCCCAAGCCTGCTAGACTTAGAACCAGCCAGCTAAAATAGTCTAGTTTTTTCTTCAGTATTATCGATGAGTAAAAGTTTCTGATAATCTTTCAGAATTATTATTTTATGATTTTTTTTTCATATTGCAGACGTAAGAAAGAAGATAGAGTGAATACACCTATAATGGCTGTTTATTTACATATAGGAGATTTACCTATTACTAATTTAACATCACCTATATTAGTTGATTTACCTATCTTAAATGTAAGTTAAGATTTTGCTCTATTATGATTTCAAACTGATAAAATTAAAAGGAGACTTTGAAGCAACCAAAAATATATACAAAAGCGAAAAAAATAAGGATAAAATGACAAGGGAAGATATGAAATGACTAAAATTAACTGATAATAACAATTTATCTTTTCAGACATTTAATATTTCCAATCCTGAATGTGTTCGAGTAATACACAGAGAAAGGTAAGTGTTTCAGCTTGACTACTTTGTACATTCAAACGACATTTTGTGCCAATTTACACTCTATTTGTAAACAAAGGTAAAAAAACTTTTAGTAAAAAAAATCTTGGAAATTGCATTAAAAAATTCATAACACAATAAAGTTAATAAAATAAGGAAAAATCAAACTTACTTCATGATATAACAAAAAACCATATATTATTGAACACTGGGATTTAGTCACACTCCCGTTTGTATGAAGCTGAGATACTCCCCCAAATTTGATCCTTCATGGACGATTTTTAATGTTAAGCTGAATGAGTCTAAAGTTTTGTTTTAAATTGTAGATCTAGAGAATGGTACTGGTCTAGAGTAGGATGTAGATTATTAAGATATAATGGTAAATCAGGTCGATGTGCTTGTCATATACCTGGTGTATTTTCTATAACTACTGATATGTATGATGTCAATGTAAGTATGCATGCTAATATTTCAGGAGGGCATATTTTACAGTTACAATTAAACATATAAACATATAAGTCTAGATATCTGGCTTCATTTATTTTCTGTGGGTTATTTAGATCATTCTAGATTGTCAAACATCCGTCTTTAGATCAAGTTTAATATAACAACACTGTTGTCCTAATGATTGGTGGTTAATTGGTTAAATTTGTGAACACACCTGTCTTTCAAATGTCCTCAGATCCTAGTTGGCATGAAGAAAGCGTAAAAAAAGAGTTGTAATTAATATAGATTAGCTGCCTTTGTTGAAGAAATGGGGTAGGTGAAGTTATCTGTAATGGGAATTTAGTTTTCATGTTTTCATCCACTCTGATGAAAACTTTGAAAGAATTTTTATTATAGGGAAATTTGTTAAATTATGTTACACCACATATTCATAATATATTAGATGACATATTAACTAATCTTATAATTCTTTTATTTTATAGTGGGATAAAGGTGATAAAAGACCTCATTTAATGAATTTTGCAAGTTATATTGGTTGTGCTGTATCTGCTTTGTTTTGTTTAATAACATGTATTGTACATGTTTATATTGGGTACGTATTATTTCATATATACATGCATACATGAGCCTTGTAGGTGCACATACATTTTGTACATAAGCAAGGTAACTATTGCATATGATACAGTGTATTTTGAAACTACATAAACTATTAAACAATGTATTTATAAGTAACACAGACTATTATACAATGTATTTAAAAGTAATACAGACTACAGACTATTATACAATGTATTTATAAGTAATACAGAATATGAAACAATGTACTACAGACTATTATACAATGTATTTATAAGTTATTCAAACTATTAAACAATGTATTTATAAGTAACACAGACTATTATACAATGTATTTATTAGTAACACAGACTATTATACAATGTATTTATTAGTAATACAGACTATTATACAATGTATTTATAAGTTATTCAAACTATTAAACAATGTATTTATAAGTAACACAGACTATTATACAATGTATTTATTAGTAACACAGACTATTATACAATGTATTTATTAGTAATACAGACTATTATACAATGTATTTATAAGTTATTCAAACTATTAAACAATGTATTTATAAGTAACACAGACTATTATATAATGTATTTATTAGTAACACAGAATATTATACAATGTATTTATTAGTAATACAGATTATTATACAATGTATTTATAAGTTATTCAAACTATTAAACAATGTATTTATAAGTAATACAGAATATTAAATAATATATTTATAAGTAACACAGACTATTATACAATGTATTTATTAGTAACACAGACTATTATACAATGTATTTATTAGTAATACAGACTATTATACAATGCATTAATAAGCAATACACACTAAATTATACAATGTATTTATAAGTAATACAAACTATTAAACAATGTATTTATAAGTTATACAGAATATTAAACAATGTATTTTTAAGTAATACAGACTATGCACTGTATTGATAAGTAATACGGACTATACAATGTATTTATTTATAGTAATTGATATAAATTATTCATTTCAGAACATCATCAGCAACTGCAGCTTTACATCGAAATTTATCAATATCTATAAGTTGTAGTCAGATAGTGTTTATGTTTGGTATAGATAGATATGATCAATCTGTAAGTAAATACATGGAAATTTATCAAAATCTATAAATATGTAAGGATCGTTTGCGATTAGTGATGTCATCAAACACTTAGTTTTAGTGGAATTGCGGGAACCACAGATGTCTGAACAAAAATTGGAATGGTGCAAATTGATGCTATCAGTGTCCTCGATACACATAAAAAATTTAGAAAATCTCTTCACAATCCCTTTAATACTTATTTTTTAAATTATTTCTTTTCAGGGTGTTTGTGAAGTTTTTGCCATTTTATTACATTTCTTCTTTCTAACTAACTATACCTGGTTAATGAATGAAGCGTTTAATTTATATATTATTATAACCTATTCTGCACATAGCCAAACAGATTTGAACGATTCAGGTTCAATGTTACGTTACTATATAATAGGATGGGGTAAGTTGATTTTTACTCTAGTAGATTAAAGCACTGGATGCACATTTGTGAACGATTAAGAACTAAAGCAAGATATTGTCCAAAAAATTAATAAAAACTAGACACTTTTGAGGTCCCGAAAATAAACAAAACCTAGACAACATCACTGTTAAATCTTCATGTGGGCATAGGAGCAAAATTACCCTGTTCAAAAACATTAAATATTTTGAGAAAGGTTGGGTCATAATGTGAACATGAAGCAATGATATTTTCTGGTCTTGTTAATGTCATCATCTGGTATCTAGTCTGTCTCAAATAGATGTATTTTAGGGGAACTTAATGGTGTAGATTCTCTCATATTCTCCCTAACATAAGCCCTATGATTGCTGTCCAGCAACCCTAAAAGATCGATATTCTCATTCATCTCCTTCAGTCACCCCTGAGATCTTTTTGAGAAGATATTGATTTACTTTTATTTAACAAAAGGATACCTAACACATATCTGGCTTCTGACTCTATATTTTGATCATATTTCTAGTAATACCTGGTGTATTGGTTGGAGCATTTGTTGGTACCAATACAGATACTTATTATGCTGTAGATATGTAAGTAAATTTTTTTCAACAAATATCAAATCTAATTTCTTAAGGTGTACCCTGGTTAACTGATTATTTAAAGTATCCTGGTGGATATGTCGACTTACTGAATGTTTGCCGTCTCGGACTGCTTAGCTAGGAAGTAGAATTTTCAGCCCTTTAAAGCAGGGTTATTAATATCTGCTTACTCAACTATCTCAACTTACTGCATCTGAGAGAATATAATTAATCATTGGCTTTTGTTATCCTGAACACATTGGCGACTGATATATTACAGTAGCATAAACCACAGGTTGCTCATACTCTGGTAACTGATGGCAACTGAAAGCAACTGCTCATCAGTGAATTCATGACAATTAAATCCAGTATTTGATAATATGCCATTAATTGCCAGAGAGTTCTCCCAGATCTGGCCATTTTCTACTTGAGCCATAATCCCTATAATCTTGATCATACCTGATATTGTAGGTGTTGGATATCATGGGATCATTTCTGGTTATTTATTGGACCTGCTGTTGGAATAATTGCCGTAAGTTTATTTTCTTGTATTATTAATTTTTTTCTTCAATATCGGAACTATTTCTTGCAAACAATATAGATGAACAGTGGTATATTGGTATCATATATTCTAAAATATGGTACAGATTCTGGTATATCAATCAGCTAGGTAACTTTTGGGCAACTTAATATGTTTAAAGATGGGTTTCCTTAATTTTTAGTGTCAAAATAAGCAAACTGTTTGGTTTATTTTATTTATGTTCTTATTACATATAATTAAGAGTTTTAACCAATCATAAATGTCCATGTATGTACAGTCTGGATAAACAAAAAAAGACTTTTTGACCTTTCTTGATAGTCACTCATTGGAATTCTGCTGGTAATTCTCTTTTAATTTAGCTAATTATGAATTATTTATGTATATGTGAGACAAACTGGTATTTTTCCAAACCATTAGAACACCTCTACTTTCTATTCATATAACTAAAAGCATTTTCATGTTCATATAAGGGAATCCATTCTTTAAAGTCAAATTTACCTTTACACATTACATTCTGATTCACCATTATTTTTTATAAGACAAATGTTTGTTACTTGACGTTTTTTTCCTACTTTATTTTAGATCTCAATATTAGTTATGATTTTCACAGCCAAAGAACATAATGAAAATTCATATACCAAGACTGAGAAAACTAATAAGATTATCATGTAAGTAAACCAAAGTGTTAAGACAATTAGTATATACCAGTTATATTAATCAACACATGTGTTTTTGGTCCAACCAGTGTTGTTATTTTTAAAACACCACCTAACACTTTGCAGCACAGTTTACCTCCAGTTCATGTAAACCTCTTTATGCCTGTTGAACATGATCCATTTTTTTGGAAAGCCCAGTTATGATTATAATCCTAAGATTAATGATTTTAATGATATGTTTGATGATTTATTTTTTAGGATTAACATGAAAGGTCTGTGGACTCAGTTGATCTTAGTGACAGTCTGCTGGGCATTCGCATTCATATCAATCAAAATGGTGGATCAGATATTGAAATATATCTACGCTTTGTTTAACTGTTTACAGGTATTGCATTGATTACTAAATTTCTTTAAAATGTGTTATGGCCTTCTGCAAGCCTCTGGAAGCCGTGGTGGCTCGCTAATCTGAAGGTCCAGGGTTCATTCCCGGCATAGGTCGAGATAACACCTTTGGTTTTTCAAACCGGGTTCCCCTTGTCAGTGATGCAGGTAAGAGGGGCTGACATGGAAAAAGCGTCTAGTCGTTCGGATGGAACAATAAACCGAGGCCCAGTGTGTTACAGGCTGTGCACGTTAAAGATTTGAAATTGAGAAAGAGCAGGCTAATGCCGCTGTCCTGGCAAAATTTCCCTCATTGCACCCTGCATTGCGTCGCTCGTCTTCCAGAAAAGTAGGATGTAAAACTCTATTCACTTCATTTCATTTCATTTCTGCAAGCCTCTGATTATAACAGATTATAACAAGTCATACAATGTCTCAAATGATTATTTTATATTGCAGGGAGCATTCTTTATGGTGTTCTATATGTTGCTTCACGAAGAGGTATGAATAATTTTATAATGTATTATCGATCGCTTTATTTATGAACTGGGTGTCGGAATCAACTTCTTAAAAGGGATACAGATAGCTCTATTTCCACGTACAGTATGTCAATGCGCATGATATTGTATTTAATGAAGTAACATTATGCATCTAGGTACGTGGTGTGTTTAAAAGCCAGAAGAAGAAACAAACAATGTTACAAGGTTATGATTTTCCTGATGAACATTCCTTAGATTCCAGTATTTCCAGTTCTTTATTAGAAAAGGTAAGAAATGGAAATAGAGCTTTAAGCCCTCTTTTGTTCACCTTGATAGACTTAGTGAAATGGGATCATCATCAGGCACAATCTGTAGCATAGGATTCACTGCTTCTCCATCCATTTAAACTGATTTTCAACATGAGCACCTCTGATAAGCATCCGCTGAAAGGAAAACTGACGTCCGAAATTTGAAAGTTTTATGCTCGCCTAGTTAAATCTTAAATATTAGATCTCACATGTTTGAGGGCTCATGAAGGTGAGATAATGCACACATTTCATATAGATCATCTTTATTTTACTTTAGGATAAAGATTCCAGGAAACGAAGACACCCATTAAAGACTCTACGCAAATCTACTAACAACGAAGATGATAAAGGTTCAGATTGTGAAATGATTACATCTGTATAATGCAGTATTTGGTATGATTACCGTTTTACTGATGTTTACACCATTGAAATCATTTATAATGTAACTACCAGTATTTACTGGTGTTCATACCATTGAGATCGTTTACAATACGACTTTTTCCTGGTGTATATATCTATTCACAGGAGTATATACCATTGAGAGTAGGAGTATACATGTATACCATTGAGTGTGTTACAATATAACAATTTACTGGTGTGTTTACCATTGAGATCGTTTCAACATAACAATTTACTGATGTGTATAACATTGAGATCATTTACAATATAACAATTTACTGGCATGTATACCATTGAGATCGTTTACAATGTAACTACCGGTATTTACTGGTGTTCATAATATTGAGATGTTTTACAATATGACTATTTACTGGTCAGCATACAATTGAGATCGGTTACAATATAACAATTTACTGGCGTGTATAACATTAAGATCGTTTACAATATACAATTTACTGATGTGTATACCATTAAGATTGTTTACAATATAACAATTTACTGATGTGCATACCGTTCAAATCGTTTACAATATAACAATTTACTGATGTGCATACCGTTCAAATCGTTTACAATATAACAATTTACTGGCGTTTATACCATTTAGATCGTTTACAACATAACAATTTACTGATGTGTATAACATTGAGATCATTTACAATATAACGATTTACTAGTGTGTATACCATTAAGATCGTTTACAACATAACAATTTACTGGCGTGTATACCATTGACATCGTTTACAACATAGCAATTTACTGGCGTGTATTCCATTGAGATCGTCTACAATATAACAATTTACTGGCATGTATACCATTGAGATCGTTTACAACATAACAATTTACTGGCGTGTATTCCTTTGAGATCGTTTACAATATAACAATTCACTGATGTGTATACCATTGAGATCGTTTACAGTATAACAATTTATGCGTGTGTATACCATTGAGATCATTTACAATAGAACAATTTACTAGTGTGTATACCATTGAGATCGTTTACAATATAACAATTTACTGGCGTTTATACCATTGAGATCGTTTACAATGTAACAATTTATTGGTGTGTATACCATTGAGATTGTTTACAATATAACAATTCACTGATGTGTATACCATTGAGATCGTTTACAATATAACAATTTACTGGTGTGTATACCATTGAGATCATTTACAATATAACAATTTACTGGCGTGTATTCTATTGAGATCATTTACAATATAACAATTTATTGGTGTGCATACCATTGAGATTGTTTACAATATAACAATTCACTGATGTGTATACCATTGAGATCGTTTACAATATAACAATTTTCTGGTGTGAATACCATTTAGATCATTTACAATATAACAATTGTGTGTATACCATTGAGATCATTTACAATATAACAATTTACTGACGTGTATTCCATTAAGATTGTTTACAACATAGCAATTTACTGGCGTGTATTCCATTGAGATCGTCTACAATATAACAATTTACTGGCATGTATACCATTGAGATCGTTTACAACATAACAATTTACTGGCGTGTATTCCTTTGAGATCATTTACAATATAACAATTCACTGATGTGTATACCATTGAGATCGTTTACGGTATAACAATTTATGCGTGTGTATACCATTGAGATCATTTACAATAGAACAATTTACTAGTGTGTATACCATTGAGATCGTTTACAATATAACAATTTACTGGCGTTTATACCATTGAGATCGTTTACAATATAACAATTTATTGGTGTGTATACCATTGAGATTGTTTACAATATAACAATTCACTGATGTGTATACCATTGAGATCGTTTACAATATAACAATTTACTGGTGTGTATACCATTGAAATCATTTACAATATAACAATTTACTGGCGTGTATTCTATTGAGATCATTTACAATATAACAATTTATTGGTGTGTATACCATTGAGATTGTTTACAATATAACAATTCACTGATGTGTATACCATTGAGATCGTTTACAATATAACAATTTTCTGGTGTGTATACCATTTAGATCATTTACAATATAACAATTGTGTGTATACCATTGAGATCATTTACAATATAACAATTTACTGACGTGTATATACCATTGAGATCGTTTACAATATAACAGTTTACTGGTGTGTTAACCGTTGAGATCATTCACAATATAACAATTTACTGGCATGTATATACCATTGAGATCGTTTACAATATAAGCAGTTACTGGTGTATTCCATAGATCATGTACAATATAACTACATGTATTTACTAATATGTGAACCATTGAGAATAACATTCCTTTTCAATTGAAATTAATTGAATTTTTATGTCCTTCCTTCTACCTATTAAAAAGTTAGCAACGCTTTTGTATTTCTGTATAAGAACAGTGCTTAGTTGGATTAGCCTCTGTTTTTTTTAATTTTCAACAGTTAATACCAATCAGGTATCAGTTTTTGGAAAGGCTTTTGTAAATTGTACATAGATGTTTATGTAGATTTTTGTATACTTGTGTAGAGTTAAACTCTTGGTTATTAATAGTGCAGACGCTGTATATAATATATCTTGTTTATAATAAGTATGGAATGTAGACATAGTTCATTAAATCGTTCAAATTATTTCGGTTAGTGCCGGGTTTATGCTCACAGGAACCAGGCGTATTTTTTCACCCGCTACGAATATTTTAGTGTGTATACCACTCTGCAGAATTTTCCCGTTGACCACCTGATTGATACACAATGGCAGGGGCAGCCATTCTGAATACGATATCAGAATCAAGTCTTGTTGGTTTAAGAGATATATATTGCTCAACAAAAACGCTGGACATTTAATTGCCGGTGTAAATAATCGGCCATAAAATATCTAACATTATTGATGCTGATGATTCGTACAGGTGTAAAAAATCGTTGACATGAGCGGGCACACTAGTAAATTTTTTGAGCAATTCAAAATTTGCCGCGATTGGCCAATAAAATACTCTCGTCTGCCCCCAAACAATGGAATTTGTATATGAGAATCAGGACAACCTTGTCAAATCAGAATGAGTGAAAATGAAATGAAAGGAATGACAGAAGAATGAAGGACCCAGTAAAAGATTGATCTATATCCTACATTCAATGATACAACAATAAACTTAAGTAAAATTTAGTTTATTCCTTTAAAAAGCAAATAGAAATAATGATGCTAAATGCATGAACAAGTGTATATTTACAAAGCAAATAAAAGATAAAAAGCACTTCAAAATCAAGGGATTAAGCAAATAAAAAAGCATTACAAAAAGTCTTGAGTATAAAAGCAACCTACTGATAAGAAAACTACAATAACCTATTAATATCAAACAATCATTTTATCTACAATTCTATTATCATTCAATTCTAATTTACAAATGACACTGGAATTAAATCTACAATTGACAATAAAACCAACTCTAGTTTACAAATGGAATTAGAACCAACTCTAGTTTACAAATGACATTAGAACCAATTCTAATTTATAAATGGCAATACAACAAAATCTAATTTACAAATGGCATTAGAATCAAACCTAATTTACAAATGGCATTAGAATCAAATCTAATTTACAAATGACATTAGAACCAAATCTAATTTAAAAGTGACATTAGAACCAAACCAAATCAAATCCAAATTACAAATGACATTACCACCAAATCCAACTTACAATTTACAAATTGGCATTAGAATCAAATCTAATTTACAAATGATATTAGAATCAAAGCCAATTTGCAAATGGCATTAGAACAAAATCTAATTTACAAATGACATTAGAACCATATCCAATTTTAAAATTGCATTAGAACCAAATTAAGTTTACAAATGACATAAGAACCAAATCTAATTTACAAATGACATTAGAATCAAATCAAATTTACAATTTACAAATGGCATGAGAACCAAACCAAATCAAATTTACAAATGACATTAGATCAAAATCCCATTTACAAATGACACCAATTTTAATATATCCAATTTTAAAATTGCATTAGAACTAAATGTAGTTTACAAATGACATAAGAACCAAATCTAATTTATAAATGACATTAGAATCAAATCACATTTACAATTTACAAATGGCATGAGAACCAAACCAAATCAAATTTACAAATGACATTAGATCAAAATCCCATTTACAAATGACACCAATTTTAATATATCCAATTTTAAAATTGCATTAGAACCAAATGTAGTTTACAAATGACATAAGAACCAAATCTAATTTATAAATGACATAAGAACCAAATCTAGTTTATAAATGGCATTAGAACCAAATCTAATTTATAAATGACATTAGAACCAAATCTATCAAGGAGAATCTAGAGGAATTGTAAAATAACAATATGTAGAAGGGAGATTCAACAACTCCTATTAATGTTTTTATAATATACAATTTGAAATACAAAAATGATTAAAAGATGATGAAGATATTTGTAAAATTTTGCTCATTTTTAATACAAAATAGTTTTTTTTTAATTAGAATTAAAGTTTATATATAATTGAATTTTGGCACTTCAGGATTGATAATTTTGCTTAATTTCATGACAAAAATGTTTACAGTTGTTGAATAAATTCTAATGAAAACCATATGTTGAAGAATTGAAAATATGTTTGCCATTGATATTTTCTAAGAACATACATTACCTAAATTGAATTTTTAGACCCCAAAAAAACTCTTAATTATTCAAAACTGGAATTGAATAGACAATTAGATTAAAAAGAAAATGAACACAGGAATGTAGGTAGGACACTAGAAAAACACAGCCAATTCAAATAGGTTCTTCTGAAGCGTTTTCTGTTTTCCTCCAAGCCATATTTTATCAATAGGTTACATCAGGCAAGAGGAAACATTTTATTTGGGAAATGGAACAAAATCAAAACCCAGGGCAAAAGTAACATAAAAAGTACAGAAAAAAATATAAAAAAAGGATGTAAAATGTACAATCAATAGGAAAAAAACGTCTTCCTTAAAGCGTAATGGTAGTTATAAAGCTCAAAATTAAATGGTACCCAAAAAGGCAGATAAAATTGGGTTAAATCTTTAAAAGTATTTCTGGAATATGTCATTTCTATTCAGTCTAATGATAGTATTTCAAAAATCACATTTCAATACAGTAGAAGGGATTATTTTCAAAATTTAGAGTAACTAATATTAAAGCAGTCTTTAGATATTTACAACCAAACACAAGCACATGAAATTTTTTATAAAACAAAAACAAGTATCATGAAAAAAATTATTTCTCCCAGTGTTCAATACTATAGGTGTTTTGTTTTATTTTATATCATTATACATCTTTTCATTGTCAGTAGAGGGTGCAATCCTTGTTTTCTACACTAAATCAGTCCAATTTTTAAAAACTATGATATAAATATTTCAACATACATGGTGTAAATTGGCATGCACTGTCACATTAATAGAGACAAATTCACTAAACTTCTACTATAAAGCTGCTGCCTAAATCATTCATCTTACATATATAATTCTTAATGTACAAAGATGAAGCCCTATTAATAGTGAGCTGCAATCTATTTCAAATACAGCTCTAGAAATTTCTATTCTGTGGATAACTATGATCTTAAGACATCCACATGTAAATGGTGTTCACAAATCCATCCAATCAATGTTCAGAAAGAATCATTTAAGCAATTAAGTAACTCGGAGAAAATAAATGAAATGAAATATCTAAGGCTATATTTTAGTCAGATTGAAGTGAGCCTACACCATATGATGTGCACAACATATTATACAGAGTTAATCAAATATGCTTGAGGTTTTTTTACTTTCACATTATAATAATACTTAAATTAACAATCCAGATACTTCCATATTGACAAACAATTTTCAAAAGACAGAATTCAAAAGAGTCTAATAATCGAAGTCTATTTCTTGCATTCATAACAATTCAAATAATATAGTCTATGTTATCAAGACGCTTCAGTTTTAGGAATATTTGTACATAATATCGCTTGAAGTAAAAATAATTCTTTTGGACTTGATATCTTGAAAATTGGCGTAGATATATCCTGCGTTAGCTTGTGAATAATTTTGAAATTTAGTGAAATGAAATGAAATGATTGGAGTTTATGTCCTACTCTTCTGAACCTTATTGGGCTAATTAAGACAGGTTGAAATCTAGATTACATTGATTATAGCAAATTTTCCTGAATTATTTAAGGTTAACACAACCAATTTAAACTAAGTACTATAAAAATATAAAAAAAAACCTGTTCTAATGAAATAATAATCTTTAAGAATATGGAAAAAATTTTGACGAATTTCATTAGACTAGATAACAATAATGTGATATATAAAATCTATTGTTAATCTATTCATTGTAAAGAGGCATACCCACAAAAAATTCAAATGAAATTGATGATAGGCTTTGACACAAAACTTGTAGCTCTTTTATCATCTTCCAAAAGTGGCTCTATTCCTTTAAAAGTAAAAAAAATATTGGGCTGATGTACATTAAAATGAATACTTCCATATAAGGTTAAAGGGGAATAATTTCTGGTCCTTTTAGATTTTTGATAAGGAATCAAACCATGATGGATAACGCTGAAATTGGTCAATAGAGGTTAAAAGGTCAAATAAAGGTCATACTGCTAAAAACTAAAAAATTCTAAAACTGCACTAACCAAAACAATCATCAAATCATAAAACCAAATGGATAAAATAAGCATTGTAGATTTTCCAAAAATACGAAAGATAAAACGCTTAGACTTTGTTTTAAAGATGGGTTTCCTTATTTTTTCATGTCAAATTAAGCAAACTATTTGAATTATTGGTGTTTCTAATGAATAATCATGTATTCTTAATCAAATCATTATGTTGTTATTGCATATAATTAAGAGTTTTAACCAATCATAAATGTCCATGTATGTAGTCTGGACAAACAAAAAAAAGACTTTTTGACCTTAATTATGGACATGTGAGACAAACTGTCATTAGAACACCTCTACTTTCTATTCATATAAGTATTAGCATTTTCATTTTCATAAATGAAAATAAGGGAACACATCTTTAAAGTCTATTCTTAATTGAATAAAGATATTATTTCTTACTTTTTATAAAATTTGATGTTTTAAGAAAAATATCAGCACCTTAAATTGAGCATTTTTATGACAGAGCAAAGATATTGATGCACATGTGGGTACCAAGTCACAAACCATATAACAATCTCTGAGCTGTACTTAGAGGTAGTTAGGTGGTGATGAACAGAGACTAATAAACCAGAGAATACATTCTGAAGGTGAACAAGCTTTAGAGGTTTAGGATGAAGCTTTTACTGCAGATGCCAAGGAATTCCTTTTTACAAATTATTTTATATGCATTTTGAAATATAATTCCCTGTCATTGTTGTGCAAATTTTAGAAATAACCTCCAAAGGTTATTTACTGTTATGTTAAAGGTACATGCATTTCACCATCAGGGTTCCTTAAATGAACTACCCCAGAGGTTCGGCTTAAAAATTTATATACCAACATAAATTAGATGCTCTTGTTAAGGTACATGTTCAGATGCATATGAAATAACACACGAACGTAGTTAAAAGCACTTTTGAATATCTTCCTCAACTTAATAATTATAAGTTGAATTTTGATAAAAGTTGATATTTCAACTAAGCATTCAAATCAGATTTAAACGTTTAGAAATGGCTCTAAATGTGATTTGAAGGCTTTCTTGAAATATTATAATCTTATTAAACCTTTGACTTAATAAGTCAAGATAGTGATTCAAAATGGCTGAGTGTTATTTTAGTGTTATTTCCATGTAAGAACCATACAGAGTTTCATACGATACAGATGTACAAGAATACCTTTGTTTAACTATGCCATATGAAGTTTAATATATGTAATTGAAAGTTTAGATTTCATTTTAAAAAATATAGATGACATATCAAATAAATGCAAATTACAATAAAACATCTCAATCATCGTGAGTCATATCGCCATTTCCTTGTGAGGCCTTACTTTGTCTTTTCTTATCTGATGTTTCCATTAATTCTATAGATTTATCATCGATGGGTGCATGAGGATCTTGCTCTAATTGATGACGGCATAAATGAGCAACTACACCAGCACCAAAACTATCTCCCAATACATTGATAGATGTACGAATTCTATCTCTGAAATGATATCAATAAAACTCTTATTTCATTGCCTCAACTACCATTGGGACTGGTTGAACCAAGTCCACTGTTCCCCCTCAAACATACAAAATTCCAAGGAAAAAAAAGGTACCAAACAGTTAGTATCTAAAACCCTGGTTCCCAGTCTGGGGTGTCTTCAACCCCCTGTACTAGGCTGTCAGTGGAAAATGTGGATGAAACAAATTTTTGGGGATGTGAAAGGTCCAGGTGATTGCTTCAGGGGAGTGAAGGCTGAGAAAGGTTGGGAACTACTGATCTAAAAGGTTAGCAAACAATATAAAATTGTTTACAACTTATGCTGGGGCCCTATCAAGGACAATATTATGACCTTATTTAAGTAAATGAGGACCTATGTGGGCTATGACTGCCTATGAATGACCTAAAACATGAAAATTTCCAGGGTAAGAGGCCCCAACTCATAAGCTGAGCCACTGACTTATTTATCTGCAGGAACTAAAAATATGAACCATTCCACACTATCAGCTGCTCTACTGCCCACATAATAATATACTATATCAGTGCGACTTGTGAAGCAGCTGTGACCTCGTATTATGTTAATGTCATGCACTTCAATTTATTTAAAGGGATAGTAGTCTGGATTGTAAAGAGGTTTTTGAAACTTTTTATGTGTATCAGGGATACTGACAGCATCCATTTGCATCATTCCAATTTTCAATCAGACGTCTGTGGTTCAATCCGTTCCACTAGAAAGGAGCGTTTGATGATGTGAACATAACATAAGCAGATTTTTTGACTTCATCGAACGCTAATTTTTAGTGAAATTGCAGGAACCACAGACATCTGATTGAAAATTGGAATGGTGCAAATCAGTGTCCAATGAGGGGAATTTTGTCAAGTTGGATGCATCAACCTACTCTTTTTGATTTCCATATGGAGGATTTGTAACATAGAATATATCACACAGAGCCTTTTTAAATTGTACAATCAACATGACATTTTCTTTGGCAATTCCTCTGACCTGTATAACTGATGGAGGATAACTTTTCATTTAAAGATTAAATGATCAACTTACAAGAACCAATCAACAGCTAGAATTAAGCTAACATCATCAGCAGGAAGACCAACAGAGGTTAAAACCATCACCATGGTAACTAAACCAGCACTAGGTATAGCAGCAGCTCCTATACTAGCACATGTAGCTGTTAAACTGTTAAAAATACAACAAAGAATAAAATGTTGGTTCATATACTAGTAACCATTCATAACATTAATATAAAAGTATCTGCCTTGCTTTGTGATAGTGTAGGCTCTAGCTTGTATGCCATTTTATATCCTATTTTGCTGCAGAATAAAAAATTTTGCAAGACAGAGGCATTCATCCACTCATTTAGATTTCCATCTTCTTAAGGGATTCTCAACACATGTAGCAACACAGCCTCTGTTTATTGTCACGTGTGCATGATTAGGCCCTTTTTTTTCCCTAAAGTAAACATAAACCAATCAATACCTAATTGTAATGATCTGACCAAAGTTAAGGTCTATACCATTCATCTGAGCTATAAAGATAGGAGCAACAGCTTCATATAGAGCTGTACCATCCATATTAATAGTAGCTCCAATTGGTAATACAAATCTTGTTACACGTCTATCTATATTCAAATTCTCTTCTAAACATCGAAATGTTACTGGTAGAGTAGCTGAACTGAAAAACAAAATAAAAAGAATGATGTCTTTGAAGATATCAAGATCCAATTTTGGTCATAAAGGCGCTTATGGTCCCCGCAGACAAAGAGGATTTGGTGCGCTACTTGCTCACTCCATTACTCCCTGCTAGTCAAATTGGCGCCATCTGGCCAATGAGTGGTCTAAAATATCAAACACGACCATGAGTGGCCAAATGTACACCAAAAATCACCTGCACATGATGACTAGTCCTGTCTAAGGGTTATTAGGTTCTAGAGTGGTTACAAGGGAAAAGTGCTAAGAAAGCAGTCCATCAAAACATATATTTTAACAACTTTACACCATCATTTCTCTAAAGTGAAGAGATATGGAGGAAGTAATTTGATTTAAAGATGCAGAAATCGGAAAGCTTTCAATAAATATTATTTCAGTTTTATTTATTTTCATTTAATTCACTTAGTGGAGCCACAAGATTCTTTTTTTTTAGTTTGCCTTGATAAAATTATAAAATGATACCAAACCCACTGTTATAAAGTGGTTCCTGAGTACAAGTCAAGAGTTAAAGGGGCATTCCACTTTTTTTGTAAGTCGAACAATTGTCACATAATGTGCCTGAAAGTTTTAACTGAAAAAATCCAGTTGTAAAATAAACACCAAATTGTAGAGAAATATATCTCCTACGAATTCTAAAGGTTTAAACAAATAATATCAAGCCATTATAAAGCCAAACACCCGAACTAGGTCAAACAGCTTAATTAACAATTAGTACTCTCTGTTTTTAATTAACCCTTTTAAGATAAATTCAGTTAGATCAAGTAGATTCATAAATAAAAATAGAATACTTTAGAAATATTTTCAGGTATAATTTACGAAGTTTTTGATAATGAAAATCTTTTACAGAAGAAGCTGAATGCTACTTTAATAATGAATTTTCTGAGCGGTTAGCTCTAAGCTAAGAGAGAATTTAATTGGATGAATATATAAACACACTTTTCTTACACTTAATCAAATCCTTGTATGACTCAATTAATTTAATGATAAAAATTAAACAAAATTTTCAATAGCTGTATTGTCAAATTGAACTATTTTAATGAACTCAATCAATGAGGTGTAAATTTATTAATGTAGCATGAAGTAGATATGATTAACAATTATTCAGTGAATAGAGACCAGACGGCAGACACTTTAAAGGTATACTACCTCTTAGGATGACCAAAAAATTGAAATTTTTAAACTAAACTTGGTTAAAATGAGTCTTTGTTCACCAGTGGACTTGTCTGGTGTAATAACTATACAACAGAATCCTTCTATAATCTATTAAATCTATAAACCTAACTATTAATTCATTAAACTAAGTAATTTTGAAACATGTTTAGAAACATGTTTCAATAATTATTTAGTTTAATGGATATATATCAGTTATATAGAGATTCTAGTCTTTAATCATGGCACCTGGTAAGTTCAACTGATGAATATATACATTTGTTAACCAAGTTTTTATATTGATTCTAAGAGGAAGTATTCCTTTAAGAATTTAAAGTAAATAGAATCAATATAAATATATAAATAAATAATTATTCCACTTTATATTATTAAAATAAATATTAATAACACTATTAATAATATTGTGTCGTAAAACTTATCAATAAATATGTTGAACTTCATCAGTCATTAGTTTACATATTGTACTATTAACTTGTACCAAATCATTATACTTTTAATCATGGTGTATTTACTGAACAGTACATAAAAAAAATACAAATATAATTATAACAATTTTAATATTAAATTATGAATGTTAAACTGCTTTTCATTTCTGTACCTGAAAACTCAGAATATGAAAAAATGTTGGAAAATGTTTTAGGAATATCGTTAAATTGTAGTGTGATTTTTCCTCTATTTGCTATAAGATGGACAGATTAATTCCATTTTTGTTATGATATACTACTCATTGATTCTTACTTCAAAATTTTATTCTTGACCATGATAATCAAGTATATACTGATTGTTCTGTCAATGGTACTAGTACCAGTATCGAGTTAGGTATGAAATGACATATTATGAGATGATACATATTTAGTATTATATCCATTGTGTCCAAACCACACCCCCATTCGTCATCGTTCCTCGGGGTCATGGTAATACAAGTTAGGGAAATTACGTGTTACATAGAAAAATATTGTCCAATCAAAATGGCCCTGTGGTCTTTAGAGTAAAGGCTTAGCCCACGAAACAAAATGATTATATGATTTGAAGGATGATACAGAATTGAATGTGATTTTCAGTAATGAATTGAAACAGACAGAAAATCAAAAAAGACTTCTTTAGTATTTATAAATTCATTCTCTCATAACCAGTTCAATTTTGTCTATTATAATCACAAGTTCAGTATCTCTCCACCCAACTATTTAAATTATATCTGTGGTAATTATGTTATTTTGCTTTGACATTGATGTCAGACTAATTTAACTATGTTAGAAGCACCTGTACTGATATACACTGTCTGGGTGAATATGTGTGGGTTTAAACCCTGCTAATTTTACATTCTTCATGCTTAAGGCCAGATCAATTTATTTCTTAGCTTCTTAGTTCCTTTAAGGATTTTTTCTGGAAATATCTGTAAAGGCTGGATGAAAGAAGACCAAAATTTGTTTTAAGAGTAGGAGAAAAAAACCCTTATATCAAACTCATATTATTTTTACAGGGACTTTCTGAGAATGTTTCTATTTTCGTACCCAAATAAAGGTTGTTCTTTTTTTTCGGAGTTTGATTTTTGTTTTCTTCAAATTTGAGATAGGAGGAGCCGTGAAATAAGATAAAAAATGGATCGGGCCTAAATAACATTTAAGAATTTAACGTTGGTCTCACTGGCATTATTGGTGTGTAAACATAGTTGATCACGTGACAAACTGAATAAATGATGAAGAATATGATCGGTTCCTTTTATTTGCCACAAATCTTAGATTGAGTCATTGTTGTGCTTTGACGACGTCATAGTATCACGTGACAAACTACAGTTTATCGAAAAATAAACGCCAGTTTGCGTAACTGGTTCATTGAAGGGATAGTGGAAATGTAAATATTTGTTGATACATGCGATATACTTGATAAAATTTTTATATGAGAAATATTCTTTCCAGTGAAAAATTTGGCTCTGTGAGCTATTGAGAGTCTATATTAATTTATCATATTAGTATTCATTCTGGTTTCATTCAAATATTTTACATCGGATAATTCTTATATCATGAAGCCCTGTGGATCATGACTAGTTTTTTGCTAATATTTTTGGCTTTGGGTTATTTTATATCAATTTCTCATATTATTTTTATAAGACAGACTAGGATAATGAAGAAAGAAGAATTATTGGTTAGAGAAAAAGGTTGTTTCATCGTCAACTTACCTAGAGGCTGTACCAAGGGCAGTAACCCAAGCTTGTAATATTCCAATGAACAATCGTAGTGGGTTTTTACGAGTGATAATAAAATATATTGAAGGAAGAATGATACAAGCATGTATAATTAAACCAGCTAACACTGTCACCATATACATCCCTAAACGTTCTCCAAGAGCAGCTGGATCTTCTAATGACAATATTTTACCAATAATCAAAAACATGATACCAACTGGAGAGTACCTACAAGGTATAAACAATTACTAAAATTTGTTGTTATAAAACTACATTATGAAACTAAAATATTTTCAAAATATTGGTTAAAAGCAGACAAAGCATTTTTCGCCTCCTGTATACCAGCTTCTTACACGACATGAAGCAACAAGACAGCACATCCATTGACTGAAACAGCACAACAATTCTCAATCTTTTGAAACGGCAACTTCACCATTTTGTACCGAACCCCATGTGGACCGACATTTTGATTGTAGCCTACCAATAGTTGTATCTTACTATTTATTTGTCTTGTTGTACATTGTCATGTCAAATCTAAGGTTAAGTTAAAGCTTATGCATTGTGAGATACTTTCTCTGTTTTCTTTTTCAAAATTAAATATATTTCCAATGGGCACTATGACTGTTCATATTTTTTTGCGATTCAATCAAGTTTCATTCATGTCATATGATAGTAGATGAACCATTTTCAGTTAAATTGGTGTAAAACATTAATAATAAATAATAAATAAAATATCATATACTTACCACATTACTATTAAAACCATCTTCATAATAATTTCATTTAAAATGGCAAAGAAATCCACCAAAATTTTACCTCGTTCACCCATTTTACTTAACATAATACCAAAAACAGTACAAAATACAATCAGACCTAAAATAAAATCAATTCCTTTACAACGCTAATTGAACCTTCCCAAAATTAAAGTCAAATGAGTTATATGTCCTTCTATTATGCACCTAATTGGGCTAATGAAGACGGGCAATGCATTGTAGTGTGCAATGAGGAATGTTTTCCAGCGGCATTAGCCTGCTCTTTTATAATATCCAACTGTCAAGGGATCTTTTACGAGCACAGATTTAAAAAAAAAGCTTACCAAGGACATTGATTCCATTTACTGCAGGATAAGTTCTTGTCCAAACAAAATTTTCAGTTGCGTCTTCAGATTGATTAGTCATATTATTTATTATATTGTTAATCATAGTAGTAACAGGTGGAACTGTAGTAGTACTGTTTATATCAGTACCATTCGTATCTTCCATTTTCAGATATTTCTTTTTATAAACTGTTTTGGTATGTTGGAAACAGGCTTGCATAATATTATTAGGAAAAATATTTCTGAAACAGAAAAGATGATTAAGCTATTAAGTCATGCATATTTTGTAGCATTCTTGACTTCAGTGTGATTATGGCAGACAAAGTGGTACAAGGAACACCAACAATATTAAGGGAACAAGTAGTACATACTATCTTGGAACCAATGTTGCATATCCATGAAGATAGGATTCAAAACACATCAAATGCTTTTCATGAAAATTAAAACCTGTAAAATGGCAACCAGGTTGTCAAGGATACTCCCTACCAGCTGATCCTTGACCAAAGCTATTGGCATTGTACAATTGCTGTGTCATTGATGATATCATAGGTGCAGATCGCAGTAACACAGGGACAAATCCCTACCACTTTTTTCAGGCTAATATGATTATCAAAATACATGGTGAAATAGATGATATCGAATTCATTAAATTTACTCTCCAATTTAAAAAAAACTTTTTGTGGGGAGGTGGTCTAGACACTGCAGGATGGCCTTTGTCGCTCGCACACCAACCCAGATTCAATCCAACGACCACACAAATAACAATTTCACATAATCAAGACCCACATAAAATTTGCTCCGACAGGCCAATATTCTTGCCTATTACAATCTCTTTTATGCTGTTCACATTTATTATATTTTATTTGATTATTTGGTGAGAACATATACAAATGAAAGCAAGCTATACCAACCTGATTAAATCTAGAAAAGCATCTAAAGAACTAACAGGAGAGTCACCAATTAAATCATTATCTTCTCGGTCAATAACAGTAAAAGTACCAGGATGTATACTAACTACTAATATAATACCTAGTATTATAGCCATAAATGTTGTTGCAAAATAATAGACCACAGCATACATACCCATTCTACCACTAGAATTAGCATCAAGTGAGGCCAGACCTAAAAAAATTTAAAATCTTTCTTACATGACTGAAATTGATTCTTAAAAGTGATTTTTCTATTTTTATGCGCATTAATCAGTCTGAATAGTTAAAACAAGACAAAAATTTAACTATTTAAAAAGTTCTATAAAGCTTAAACAGATTTAAAGCATTGAAATAGGATGGGAACTCACTTTGATAGAACATTTTAATGACATTATATCCTTATATTACATACATTATATCATACAAGATACAATGAATGTTCAATACCATTCCATTGTATCCTACTAGATACTGGAAAATTACCATTACATTATATTGTACTGGATACAATGTAATGGTAAAATTATAGGATACAATTAATGGTAAAATTATCATTACATCATATCATACTGGATACAATTAATGGTAAAATTATCATTACATCATATCATACTGGATACAATTAATGGTAAAATTATCATTACATCATATCATACTGGATACAATTAATGGTAAAATTATCATTACATCATATCATACTGGATACAATTAATGGTAAAATTATCATTACATCATATCATACTGGATACAATTAATGGTAAAATTATCATTACATCATATCATACTGGATACAATTAATGGTAAAATTATCATTATATTATATCCTAATGCATAGAATTAATGGTTAATTAGTCATTGCATATTGTCTGAGATACAATTTATATCATAATGGATACAATTAATGATACAATTATCATTACATTATATCTTATTGCATAGAACTAATGGTTAATTAGTCATAATGCATATTGTCTGAGATACAATTTATATCATACCTGTAATCATACTGGATACAATTAATGGTAGAATCAACATCTTTAACATTCTCATTAACATATCTCCAGGAAATGACACTATCATTATGGTATCTTTACTAGGATTAGCTGAACGACTAGCAAACCCAATCACAACACCCAAAAATACTCCAATTACTGTTAAAACTAATAGTAAATTGGTGAAACACCATTTTCCAACCTGAAAAATACAAATAAGATGAATGTATTTCGTATGATTATAAAAATAAATATATTAATGCTGTATTCGTTACCTCTGGGAAGTTGGAAGTTTCCTATTGGGAAGTTGGAATTACCAATTGATTCTATTCTGGCCACATTTGAAGAAATCAGTACAGATGCATGTGCATATTTGCATAATAATTATATCACATGACTGTGTTCATTGTACATCATGTGGCATCAAATGCCTTGATCTCGATATAATTTTAGCCACCAAAGTTCTCCAGTAGAAAACACTTCTTCCAAGCACAATTTGAAGTAACGAATGCTATTTACCAACTGGGAAGTCGTATTTCCCATATTTCTAAGAAGTAACAAATGCAGCATAATGCCTTAAATACAGCTCACACATATTTCTTTATAGTACTGATTTTGGAGGGCATGGTTTAGTCTGATATTTGAATCAACATCTTTTTTAAGAATATCTGTATTTCCACTGAGGATAAAGCGGGATTTAAGCTAGCTTTAAGTTAGCTTTCGTGTGTTTCCACTGTGCAAATTATCGGGTACTGAAAACCTCTCTTTTTGCGTTCGGCAATATATCTGGGGCATAAAGCCAGTCTTCATTTTACTGAGTTTTTCTCGTTCGGTCTTTCCGGCCTATTGCATTTCTTACTGGTCTAAATGGTAGTCTTGTACATCACGAGTTGTCAATAATGTGCGACTTTGTGATTGAGGTTAAAAGTCGTTTGGGAACCAGTTAAACTCAGTGTAAACACAATGCATTTAGCAATAAAGCATTTACATTACAATTCTCAGTGGAAACACAGTTATTGTCAGAGGATAACATGATTCTGATAGTTTAAAACTTCATAGGTTATTTGATTAAGTAAACAGTCTTTCTTTCAAAAGCATGTTATTAAGCCAAAGATTAACGCAGCCATAATCCTTGATGAATTGGACTCCCATGAGGGTTGGGAAACATTAGGTTCAATATGTGTTAATAGTGCTGACATGATTTATCAGTGAATGAATTGAGTCATCATGATATGAAACTAGTAGTCTGAGGTATTTGAGAATTCGAACTTTTAATATGCCCTAATTTCAGGTTAATTTATTATTTTTTCATACATTACATTGAGTCAGACTAGTAAATAATGTATAAAATTTAATGACTGAATACTTCAGTGAGCAGAATCAACTTTGTTAGAATATTTATCAACCAAGTCATTATCAATTACATGTAAGTGCATCAACTTCAAGACTTAATTATGGTAGATTTCAGTATAAAATAGCATCAAAGACCAAGAATTCAATCAGGAATCTGTCTCTTTTTTTAACTTACACTGATCAGTTTCTGTTTGTACTTCTATTTCTTGAGACACTGCCATATATAGAAAAGGCCCAATGACAGTGGAATTCCTATTTATGAAGGTATTATACGATTTTCATGCAGTTCTAGTACTTCTGAAGACTATATATACTACTTTAGTCTAAGTCTATGATTCAAATAAATTGTGTCAATTCCACTCAACAGTACAAGTGGAACAATTCTATTCTATCATATCAGTCTGAGAGTAATGTACAACAATATATTGTTATGTAGTTGTACAACAATAAATTATATTAGAAAACAGATGTATAGTTTTTCTTTACTTACTGAAGTTAATCTAGAGGTGAAATTAGATTGATTTGGTTCCTCGTTTTTTAAGATGGGAATATTCATGCTGTTAGAGCGAATAATATCACAATAATTAGAATTGTTAACTGTTATTAACACCACCTATATATTTAGTATTAAATACTGATGATGGTGGATATTGATTTTTCCTACCTGAAATAACTTAATGAGTTGTATAACTATTTTCAGGTAGATATCTTAAATGTCAAATGGTTTTGATTAGAATGAGAAGGAAAAGCAAACTGACAAAAGGGATATGACCATTTTCTCTTTTTTCTTGTAGATTATCATATTTTATATTACTTAATTTTTTCAGAATATGTCTTGATGGAGGCATACATGTGTAATCTACCGCTGTTGTCGGGTTTCTTTTGCATGTTGTCTACCGCTCTACCAACGAGATACTGGATTCTACCGATTTTTTGTTTTTTTCTAGACCAAATTTTCACGGGACCTACCGTTTTCAATGTCCATCATGGAAGTTCGCATTTTCAATTAATTTATATAAATTGTTTTTTTGGAAAAATGAATTATCAATTTTCTATCAAATCTTTAACCTAATTAAATGATAATCTAAGGATGCTTCAGAGACAAATTAAGTATCACTAGGAGATAATTCCACATTTATCTTTTCACTACCAAACCAAATACAAACACTGCTTTGATTATATTAATCTTGATATTCAACAAATGAAGGGTCATAACTAGGGTTTCTTTGAGGCAAAAAAAATCCTGTTGTCTTTTAAGTCAGTTATATCTGTAATGTAAGTTTTTGTAACCCTTCAGGTAGACTTGAAACACATCAACTTAACATCAAATAATCAATATATTTAACGGATATCATATTTTATATTTTCAATTCTTAAACGAATTTATTGTTTGTTAAATTCTGCATGAGGCATTTGCCTTGATGTAATTATGGCCCTGAAATGGTGTATAATATATATCAAAGATGGAAATGTAAATGAAATTGCTAATACTTATATGAATGGAAAGTAGACTAATGACTTGGAAAGTACCAGTTTGTCCCACATGTCCATAAATAATTCATATTTAGCTAAATTAGAAGAGAATTACCAGCAGAATTCCAGTGAGTGACCTATCTTGAAAGGTCAAGAAGTCTTTTTTTGTTTATCCAGACTGTACATACATGGACATTTATGATTGGTAAAACTCTTAATTATATGCATTAATAACACAATGATATGATAAAGAATATAATTCATTAGAAACACCAATTGATATAGTTTAATTAATTTGACACCTAAAAAGGAAACCAATCTTTAAGGTTGTAGAGTGCACTAGACAAATTTCCAAGTTCCAGGTACACACACAAGTCATATAAATTAGATAAGATAAGAATTTGTCTTAAATGTAAATTTTTGCATTAAAAAATACCATATTAAAGGCTTATATTGATCATATGATTTTTTGTGTTACAGGGCCCAAGCAAATACACATTTAAAATTCTTTGCTATAAACATTGCTGAGTCAATATATCTTTCACAGACTGACACTTATTTTGTTTATTTATTTATTTATTTTGAAGGCCTATTTGCCACCTATAACCATTACTAAAGTCAGTATGGCATATACTTCAACCATTTCTCTTCAAAGCTTATTAGCATCAAAGATTTCTTTTAAGCCTTTGCTACTTTGTTATTTGTTACCAGCATCACATGTACTTTGTTTAATTGAAAATTTTGAAATTCTAGTTCTTACACAGTTGTTATTTACAGTCCTAACTTTTACTACCAAAAAAAGAGTATTTTGTACTGCCCATGGTTCAGTGACTATAATTAGTTGGTATGTTTACTGTAAACAATATGTCATCAGGTCTTTACATTGCAATAAATCTGCCCAATTAAAGTTTCAAAATAAAGTTCTGCCCTAATGTTTGACCAGTATCATATTACGTACATACACATCTTTATGACCTCTCTTGCAATAACCTTTCTTATTGACCTTCATTCAATTTTTTTAGAACCATTCTATAAACTCATTGGTTTCTTTTGTATCTTGTTTTGAAATTATTCAATGTAAATTGGCGAATGAATAGACTTCGCCTATGGACCCCACTGAGACCCCACACTGCGACTGTCGCTTCACTCGGTATGAATGTATGTCCATAATGAGTTGCTGTTTCTGTCTAAATGTATTTTACTGTAATGTAAAACACTTTTAAACCTCGGGGACCCATCGACCATCTATGGCGCTTCAGCAATTTCAGTCATGAAAAGCAGCGATTTAGTTCATTTACTTACACTATTTTAGACTGCTAATTTCATGAGCACAGATTTGAAGATTTGGATGCATTTCCTACAAGAACTTATTCATAAAAATAATACTTGGTACTGTCAAATTATGAGTAACAATCTATTTATCTGAATAAATACGTTAGCCTCCAAACTTTTTATATGGTTTTGAAATGATAAAACTTTGCAGCTTTTTAAAAATTGCAAAATTTGATCACATATAAAAGTGTGTTTCTATAGTGATCAGATTTGTTTGTTGATATTCCTGATTGATAAGATTCTGATTTCTGAAATTTTCAGGACTATCTTCTTTTCAAAGAACAGAGAACCAAAATTTCAAATTCAATCTAGTGAAGAAGGGCTCTATACTAAATTTAGAACATGAAATGTAATACCAGGGTGCCAAGAACAGGTCAAGTTATAGTACCTTCTTAGTGAGGTATATCAATTGGTGACAAGGTGCAATATAAATTTGTATCATATCTGTCAAAGAGTAATGAACCATCACATTTTAGTTTTGGCTGTAATGGCTGCCAAGTGGTAGTAAAAGTTAGGACTGTTTAAAGAAAATCAGATTTATTCCTGATGTTGTTTTTGTATCAATTCTCTAGCTATCAGATTTCTATAAATCATGCTACAATAAGATACTTGACACTTCTATCAACAACTCACATCTTACAGCAACATTCAGTCAAAAGCTTTCATTTTCTTGTTCCAACACAGTTCAAACTTAGACATCTTAAAGGGATTGTGACAAGGTTTTTCTACATTTTTTAAGTGTATCAGGGACACTGATAGCATCAAATTGTACCATTCCAATATTCAGTCGGACCTCTGTGGTTCCTGTAATTCCAATAATTACACTCAAGCTAAGCATTTCATGGCGTCACTAAGCACTTAGATATTGTCAACTGCTTTTGAGATAGTGATGTAAACAAACGTTTAGTTTTAGTCGATTTTGCAAGAACC